TATTATTATTATTTATATCCTGCCCTCCCCAGCTGAAGCCGGGCTCAGAGCGGCTAACAACAGTAAAGTAATACAGCATTCTAAAATCAATTCATTATAAAATCAGTTCAAATCAAATTAATGGCAACCATTGGGCTAGAGTTCTGTGAGGATTACCAAAAGAGGGGGTCAGGCTCTGCCCTGGCCAAAGGCCTGGTGGAACAGCTCTGTCTTGCAGGCCCTGCGAAAAGATGTCAAAGCCCGCAGGGCCCTAGTCCCTTGTGACAAAGCATTCCACTAGATCAGAGCCACAGCTGAAAAAGCCCTGGCTCTGGTTGAGGCCAGCCTAACCTCCCTGTGGCCCGGGATCTCCAAGATGTTTTTTGTTTGAAGACTGTAAGGTTCTCCGTGGGACATACCAGGAGAGGCGGTCCCGTAGGTATGAGGGCCCTAGGCCGTATAGGGCTTTAAAGGTTAAAACCAGCACCTTAAACCTGATCCTGTACTCCACCAGTGCAGCTGGTATAGCACTGGGTGAATGTGATCCCGCAGCAAGGACCCCGTAAGGAGTCTCACCGCGGCATTCTGCACCTGCTGGAGTTTCTGGGTCAGTCTCAAGGGCAGCCCCACATAGAGTGAGTTACAATAATCCAGTCTGGAGGTGACCGTCGTGTGGATTACAGTGGCTAGGTCAGGGTAAGAGAGGTAAGGAGCCAACTGCTTAGCTTGGCGGAGATGAAAAAATGCCGCCTTTGTCACAGCTACAATCTGCGCCTCCATGGAAAGGGAGGTGTTGAAGATCTTGACAGATGGTGCTGGCACTAATTGCGCCCCTGCAAAAGGTGGGAGTTGCCCCCCCAATCCCATATCGTCCCATCCCAGCCAAAGGACCTCTGTCTTCGAAGGATTTAACTTCAACCGGCTCCCTCGTAACCATCCAGCCACAGCTTCCAGACATCTGGTCAGTGTGTCTGGGGCCGAGTCAGGATGGCCATCCATCAACAGATAGAGTTGGGTGTCATCAGCATACTGATGGCAACCCAGCGCAAAACTCCGGACAAGCTGGGTGAGGGGACGCATAAAGATGTTGAAAAGCATAGGGGAGAGTATCGCACCCTGAGGCACTCCACACACCAAGGAGTGGTGCGACGACAGTTCCCCCCCCCCCAAGCACCACCCTCTGTCCCTGACCAGAGAGAAACGAGTGCAGCCATTGAAGGACTGTGCCCTGGATCCCCACATCGGCAAGGCGGTGGTCCAGGAGTTTGTGATTGACCATGTCGAAGGCTGCTGACAGGTCTAAAAGAATCAGCAGCTTGTTTTTGTGGTTGCTTTCATTTTCCTATGTTGTTCTGTGTTAGCCTGCTCACCAGTAAACCAGTGGTGCATGCTTGGTGGACTAGGGGGAGCAGGCAAGTCCCCTAAATGTTCCCAGTAAATTAGAGTATTAAAGTATGAAAGCTTCTGGCCGGCTTAAGGAGGATGTTCTGGAGGAGAGGGTGAGATTTGGTGTTGTCATTGTGGAATGCAGTCATCCTCTATAGACACAAAATGTCCCAATGATAGAAATGCAGAAAAACTGGGCATTTAGCAAGAGAACTATCTGGTTGCACAATCAAGGCAGATATTTGGTTGCACAACCAAGTCAGTGCAAGAGTCAGGCAAGAAAACAAAAATCCTATCATTTATAGGAGGAAGAGGGAGAGGAAGCACATGAGGAGGTCCACACTGTTTACTGTGTAAAGTAAAAAATAGTGGAGCCTTATAAAATAGTTGTTTTGTCCAATTATCATCCAGTAGCCATAGAAATAGATACGGGGACTTCTGTTACACTCATCAATGGAGAGATCAACAACACAGAGGAGGCCCAAGTTCATTGGCCATGACAATAGTGAAATTAAGGACTTAAACCAGAGAAAAATTCCCAGTCCTAGGATTGGTAATAATTCCAGCCACGTACAAAGGACGGCATAAGGTAGTAACCTCCTGGTCTACTTTATAAAGGACCATCCACCTCTATTTCGAGCGTGAACCACTTTGTGAGGTCTGCCTGAAAAGCGATATACAAATACCTTAAGTAAGTAAATAAATCTCAGTCAGACTGGCAATCTAGAAGGAAACAAGGGTCAATGGGTTTATTGAGGCTTACTCTGAGGTATGGGTATATTTTGTATCATCTACCTGCTAAAGTCCATTTAATCAATATTTTGAGTTAAGAAATTAATAAAATAAAACTTTTTTTAACCTACGTTTCTTCTATAACTTGTGACCCTTAAAAGTGGTTTCTTGGTTATTGAATCAGTCCTTATGAAACTTCCATTCTCTCTTTAACATGCTCAGCATTCTTTCATCCATTAAGATCAGGAATTACTCAACTTTGCAGTTCTTGTACTGTATGTTTCTTAAAATTCTCCCAAACCTGTGCTAAAAACTTTGTAAGGATCTATGGTCCTCCCCTTTAAAACATATGGCCAGAAATGCATCATCCAGCCATAGATCAATTTTTTGGATGCACAATCAGAATACCAGTTGGGAATATAGGAAGCTGCATTATACCAAGTCCAGTAATGTCCATCTAGCTCAGTATAGTCTACAGTGACTGACAGCTGCTCTCTAGGATTTTGGACAGGGGACATTTCCACCCCATCAGGAAATGCAGAGGAATGAACCTCAGGCAATTGCAAAGCAAATGCTCTAGCACCAGTGGAAGACCTTGGCAATATGGCGCCGTGTGCAAAGCCAAAATTTTACACACACACCTACCTCTTGTACCGGCTTCCCAAAACCAGATAATAGGGCTGGGCAATATATCAACATATTGTCCAAAACTGGTTTGAAGTCCATATCATAATATCTGTTTCATAATTTTTGACCTGGCAATAAATTGTGAATCATGATGTGTGCGTGTTATGCCAAAATCACAATGCGGGGGAAACCGTGGAGCCAGCCAATGTCTCCATCCTTATTTCAGACGTTGTAATATATTGGTATATCACAATGTTTAGCTGGTGATATATTGCAAAGTTGAAAACCAGATATCGCCTAGCCCTACCAGGTAAGCAAGGTGCCAGGTTTGGGGAAGGAGGAGCAGAGGCTCTGGTCCTCCTGTCTTCTCCCTAAAGTTGGGCAAGCGCTTACAGGGCTTTGGACAGGAAGGCTCTCCCTCAGCACAGTGCCCTGGTCGTGCTGCCTTAAATTCACCTCTGCTATCACTAACCTACAACACTTCCCAGCAGCTGTTTTGTCACAGTGCCCAGAAAGATTACATCCTCACTAAATACTGCCCAATGGAGAAAAAGGTTTGCATTTCAAGAGCAGAAAAGCTCTATAAAAAGGATTTCCACAGTGACAAGAATATGGCATGTCAAAATCAGCTATGGAAAGGAGAAGTCCTGGTTTGTTTCTGTTCCTCTGCTTTTCTGCAAAGATCACAAGACCTTAAGCAGTCCAACAGTTCCATAAATATATATTTGAACATGTCATGATGGGGAAGTGTGTGTATTTCAGTAGAACAATTCAGATTTATTTATATGTAAGCACATTTGGGCTTCTTGGGAAAGTTCCATTATGACTTTCCATAACACAAATGAAGTGAAAACTGGCAGCAATGACTGCTTCCAAAGTCCACCTAGAATCATCTCCCTCAAATCCAGATGCCCTAAGCAAGACTGTTTTTAAAACCTACTGGACTGAAATCATATCCCTGCCACACACCATGCAGCTGCAGGAGGAGGAGTTTGCAGAGGACAGAGAAAGATCTGTGAGTAGAAGGGTGTCCTATCTGCCATCCTTAAAACCCCCTGGGAAACTCACCCAATCAACCTGCTGGGGTATCCTTAGTAAAACATTTACATCTAGTGTCAGGGAACTGCCATCGGACGGAAGGGAGGTGAAAGGGCTCACACAGGTTGGGAGAGACGCAGCAGCTGAAGAGGGAACCAGCAGGGAGGTGAAAGGGCTCACACAGGTTGGGAGAGACGCAGCAGCTGAAGAGGGAACCAGCAGGGAGGTGAAAGGGCTCACACAGGTTGGGAGAGACGCAGCAGCTGAAGAGGGAACCAGCAGGGGAGAGGAGCTGAGCTGGAGGGATGGCTCAGAGACACTTCCAGCGAAAACAGTGGGGAGGTTTCAGGACCTCCTGTAAGAACACCCACTCCTCGCCGGAAACTGTCACGCAGAGAGTCCAGAAGACGTGTTTCCGTTAAGGAGCTTTTATGTTGGAAGCGATTACGAAAGCAACCACTGTCGGAATCTGCAAGTGACTAGAGTAGCCATGTCTGAGGGGCTCCGTCACAGACAGAGGTTTGTGGACTTGAACAAACTCTAAGGGGATACGATTTTACGCACAAGCAGCTCATCATCTCATCACATCTAGAAGTAGCTTTATTTGAATGAGCCTTCCTGTAGCACAGCCTCTCAGTCTATAATGATGTGAGTATCCGTAACTGAAGTGAACCAATACTCTTCACATTTACCCCTGCCTCCATTGCCTTCCCCTACTTTTTGTTGTCTTTCCTATGTTGAATTTTAGATTGTAGGTACTTCAGGGCAGAACCCTGCTTTCTTGTATTCTTCAAAACACCATGCACATTACAAGGGCTCCTAAAGACTGGTATTTCTTAAGGATGCATTCTGAAACATGTCAGTGATGCAACAGTGATAATGGTAGATTTATACTGGACCATCAACACCTCATTCCGCTTTGTAAGCTGTTCTGCGATTTTTCCTCTATCTGGAGGGGCATTCTTGCACTATAGCCTAAGAAAAGCAGGACAAAGAATAAACTGGACCATTTGTGGTATAAAAAAAATTACAGGATTTCAGCAGAAAGTTACAAGATATGCACCAGTTGGAAACCAAGCAGTATGTCCTACCCAAAACTTTTACAGTATTAAAAGTAGGGTTGCATATAACTGCCCTGGTACCATCATGAAAGGGCAAAAAAAGATGTCTGGAAGGGCCCTTTATAAATCACTATCATAGACAGAAGTACCATGCAAACAGAGAATGTTAGAAGCTGGGTTTTATAAGAAATCTCAGTTGGATAACAATAAATGGTATAAAACAGATGTTTAATAGCACTGAAATTCCATAGCAGCTCACAATCAACCATTAATAGGCTATGCAGAGGTTTTGTTTGAAAACTCCAGTAGTGTAACTAGTTTCTGCTTGTATCACAAGCTCATCTTCTATGGCCAGGGTACAATGGCTGGAGATTCAGCACCGAACAGGCAGTGATTGTCAGCCTGTTGCTGGTTTTGTTGCAAGAGCCCTCTGCTACCTTAAAGGCTAATTTGTTTAAACCAAACAGTCTTTACAAATCAACAGTTCTACCGTGTATTTCTGTCATGATGCATACTACATCACAGAGGGCTTCCTTCTGCTATGTGGTGTTGAGATTTGTAAATTTGGAGTGCTAAATTCACTGCTGTTTCCACTGCCAGTGTTTTGCAAACCAAGCCAAGCTAAGGAATGGAAAAGAGTTTGTGTTGCTTTGGATGCTTCACCATGTTTTTCATGAGGCAGCTGGAGGTTCACCTCACTGATGTTATTCACCAGCATATTCGATGTCAGGAAGTGAGTTAAGGAACTGCACCTGGTCAGCTTTTCTTCCAAAAACTGCTTATAGAGTTCCTGGACTTCTGCCTCCATGTAGTTGTTGAGTATGGAGTTTGAAAGAGGCTGCTTGTGGAAAGTCATGCTTTTCTCCCCAACCTCTTCTCCATGCCAGAACTTGACAGACTTGGATTTCAGCACAGGTTCATTTAGAGGCGAATGTCCTAAGGGGATATCTTTTGAGAACAAAACAGGGCCAGCAGACAATCCATCATAGGTCTGGTCCATGATGCAACCTGAATCACACGTATGGTCAGCTATGTGATCTCCTCCGATATGCAGATCAGGATAGTTCTGGTAAAGGCTTTGACCCGACCAAGATCTATACAAATCCAGCTCGTTTTCACAGTGTTGCTCTTGTCTTGGTATGCACTGAGGAGTTGACTGGGGGATATTGTTGCATCTTCTCGCAGGTGGCTTTTGTAGAAAATTCTGCTGGGGAACTTCTTGGCCTCTTTCCTTGTCGCAGCACATCAGTGCCACCTTCTCTGCAGACTGCTTCTTGGATTCTGTACAAAAGTCTCCATTTGCATCTGTATCTTTAAACTGCTTTTGCCAGGGGTCTTCTCCAACTTCTCTTAGTGTCTGGGATTGGTGGGTCTTGTCTGGCCATTCCTCTTGGTAGGCAAAGTTGATGAGTATGCTTTCTGCTAGCATTCTGGCTGTGAATTGAGGTAGGCTGTCAAATTCGTATCGTAGATAATATTCCTTTAAAAAAAAGTGAGGGGCAGATGAAGTCATTTTGGAAATTAAGGCTCATACAACAAAAAATAACAGTTAGAACTTACTGGGCTTGACTCCATTACACTTGTTTATGAAAGGACTATCTAAGGCATATAGCTCCAGGAGATGTAACAGGGATAATGCTTCTCTAAAACATATGTTTGTACAATGCCCTATATTGATAAAATTTTGGTGGAAGGTAATAGAGACAATCAACACGACTGTACAGAAAAATCTGAAATTTGCATAGGAAAATATCCTTTTGAATTATATACCCAATACATGGAATCTAACAAAGGGACAATATGAATGGACTCTCTGCACCCTTACTGCAGCAAAAAGACAGGTATTGGTGAACTGGAAAAAAACTAAAATGTGGTTCTTTTCCACGATTGGATTAAAGGTATGTGCAAACTCACTATACATGAACAAGTTGCAAACAAACATAGACTTGCCATGGACAAATTTAATGATACTTAGAATTCATTTGTATAAATACCATATTAGGTTCAGGTCTGGTTAACTACAATAACATTTTTTTTCTTTTTGTAATGTATACAATTTCTTTCTTTTTCTGTTTTGTTTTGTTTTTTACATGGGTACTATTTCTTCTTCTTCTTTGTGTCTTATCTTACTCTCTGTATTTGTGATTATGTACTTTTTATTTTTCAATAAAGAATATAAAATAAACAAACATTTTCCCCAGTCCTGCAGCACGCAGTTGAACTCAAGCAGCAAAATGCTCTACAGAAGCTTTCCCTAACTCACTTGCTTCCTAAATGCTGTTGGGCTCTGACTCACATTACCTCTAAGCTAAGCATGGGCCATGCTGGATGGGGCTGACAATAGCTGCTGTCCAAAAACTTTGGGACAGGATGCCAGGTTGGAGAACATTGCTTTTCCCCAACTCTGTCTGCCCAGGACAATTGACAGATACCCTCCAGAATTTTCCCTGGGATCTTCTTAACACCCCAAGGGAAACAGCAGTAGACTTCAACTGGATCTTACAATAGTTTACAGTGTGACCCTATACATTTGCACTCAGAAGTAAGTCCCACTGAGTTCAATGGGCTTACTCCCATTAAAGTAGATAAAGGATTGCCGCCTTTATACCCAGCTACTGTTGGTCAAGTGTAAACCTTAAAAACAGTGACGCAAACTAGGGGGAAATCATCAGTGCAAATATCACATCTGCTGTCTTGTCTTATTCACCTTTACCACAGCCCTGCAAGGTACCGTATTTTTTGCACCATAACACTCACTTTTTTCCTCCTAAAAAGTAAGGGGAAATGTCTGTGCGTGTTATGGAGGGAATGCCTACAGATGGCATGCCTACAGATTTTCCTCCTCTAAAAACTACAACTACATGCGTGTTATGGTCGAGTGCGTGTTATAGAGCGAAAAATACGGTAAGTCACAATAGTTCCCTTAAAAAGAAATCAGCTGCGGAAAGTGAGGCCAGAAATATTCAGTTTGCCCAAACCACACTGTGGGCCATGGCAGGACCTGAACTTGGGCTTCTCACATCCTTGTTAAATGAATGGAAGGTGGCATATTAAAATATAAGCAACTAAATAAATAAATGAAACATCAGATTCTGCCCAGTTTCTCATCCATAAATCAAAATACTTTTAAGCCCCATCTACACTATACATTTAAATCAGTATCTTGCCACATTAAACAGTCATGGCTTCCCCCCAAAGAATCCTGGGAACTTTGGTTTGTTAAGGGAACTGGGAGTTTGTTAAAGCACAACTGTTCTCCACACAGAGCGACAATTACCAGAGAGGGTTAACTATCAATCCCACTGCTAGGGAACTCTGGGAATTGTAGCTCAGTGAGGGGACTAGGGGTCTCCCAACATCTCTTAGCACACATAACAAACTACAGTTCACAGGATTCTTTAAAAGCATGTATACATTTTAAAATATGCATACAAAGCCAAAAAAAAAAGATTCTCATTGATGAACATAAGAAGCAGCAATCTTAGCTCCAAACTGAATCTTAGCTGCAAATCAAACCAATTCATATTCCTGCGATACAGTTACACATCTACAAATGAATATGTGTAACTGATTATTAAAAATAATGAAGCAGCACTTATGCTCAAAATTAGAAATGAGCATAGAATTGCAACCTTGAGATGTTGAAAGCCGCTGTCCTAAACACACTTGTCACGAAAAAGCATGCACACACACATATGCATCAGCCATTTGCCACTGCAATTTGTGTACAAAAGTACAAACATAAACACAGTTTAGCAGATGAAATTACAAAACTAAATCAAATGGCCAGAGAGTAAAATCCACTGGAAAAATTGGGACATTCTTCTGAACAGAAGTGTTGCACCGTAAGTACAAGAAATGTTTGGTTTTTTTAAAAAAAAAATAATAGAATAAATAGTGATAAAAGTACACAACATACCTTTGCAGGAAGGCAAGAATTACATGCTCTGTAAAATCAGTAATGTAAACAGAAGCAAAACTGGAGGCAGAGGATTCCTTAGTCTCTACCTTCTTCAAAGATCCTCTGAGTACTAACTGTCTAGTGAGCTATCCTGTTCCCCTTTTCTTCTAGTACAGAATGCAACCCTCATGGAAAAATATGTGATCTAACCTCCAGTGACAACATACCCCAAAGAGGATATGATTATTATTTTTTAATGCAAAGGAGTATTAGGCAACAAGCCAAACAAAACTCATATTCTCCAAGTGACGGTTGCTACTTGAGTAATTTCGTAAGTCCATGGAAATGGGAACCAGACAATAACGAAAGTGAACTTAGTTCATTGCTCTGCTCTACAAGAAGCTGGACCTGAAAGCCCAGTGTGTAGTACAGTGGTACCTTGGTTCTCAAACTTAATCCGTTCTGTCCATTCCAAAACCAAAGCATTCCAAAACCAAGGTGCGCTTTCCCATAGAAAGCAATGCAAAATGAATTAATCCGTTCCAGACTAAAAACAACCCCTAAAATAGGAATTTGACATGAATTTTACTATGTAACAAGACCATTAATCCATAAAATAAAAGCAATAATCAATGTACTGTACTATAAAATAAATGAGACAGTATTGTAGATGATAAAAAAATAAAAATAAAAAAATTCTTACCTGCACTGATGATAGTCATTGTTTGGATGGGGGGCTTTTATCCATTTCCAGAGTCACACAATCAATCAATCAATCAATCAGTAGCTGAACTGGGTTCCACACAGTCACAAAAACAAATTAACCGAAAAAGCCTCAAAAACAAAAATGCAAAATAAATAGCAAAAACAAAAGCACCAAACTTGACTTCCAAACTGTTCAAAAACCAAGGCGCAGCTTCTGATTCGTGCAGGTGTCTTGGAAACAATAGCCGACAGCCGCATCGGATATTCGGCTTCTGAAAATCATTCAAAAACCAGAATACTTACAGTACTTCCGGGTTTTGGCATTTGAGTACCAAGGCATTTGAGAACCAAGGTACCACTGTAGTTCTTAACTGTGGGTATTCAATATGGACACATAAAGGTCCAAAGTATATCTACTGTGTTAAATGTGCCATTGTAGCATTTTAGTGAAGTTATCGCCTCTCTCCCCTCCCCACCTCCCAAGTTGCTATGTAAATACAGTGGTACCTCGGGTTACAGACGCTTTAGGTTACGCGATTTCGGGTTGCGTACCATGCCAAACCCGGAAGTACCGGAACGGGTTTTGGCGCTCGCGCATGCACAGAAGTGCTAAATCACACTTTGCGCATGCACAGAAGCAACGAATTGTGACCCACGCATGCGCAGACGTGGCGCTGCAGGTTGCGAATGTTGCGGGTTGTGAACGTGCCTCCCGCACAGATCACGTTCACAACCCGAAGTTCCACTGTAGCCAATTGAATGTTCCTGTAAAAACCCAATGTACAGCCACTTCTGATATAAATGGATGTTTGTTTTTAGAAAAATGCATCAAACTACTAATAACTAAATATAAATTACACAATGAAATTGCATATTTGAAAAACATACAGTTAGTAAGGGAAATGTTTGTTAACATTTCTATACATATGGTTTATGCACAATCTTCTTCATAATAAGTTATTAATAAATATCCCATCTGATAATTCATTACTATAATGGAAGACTTGCTTATTAGATTTTTACTTAAGCACCAGAGCTTGGAGGACAACTTCATATTTCATCTTTTCTTGCTTGCCTTTTTCCTTATTTTTATTGATCTTTAGTTCCAAGCTTTTCCTTAATAAATCCAACTTTTGGAGCATCTGCACATCTTTCCAACTTCTAGACCTAGTTTAAAAATATAACCTGAATCAGATGACTTAGCTGAACTTGTTCTTAAACATAGTTCAGCAAGAAAAAGGGGGAGTTAGTTCTATTTCATATCTGCAGATTTCTTTACATTCCTTCATTTTTGTTCTTTGCCACAAATGTCTAAAATCTCATTTCTCTCTGTTACTGGGTCCGCATGTATGTTTTCTATGGGGCTGTGAACTGTGTACAAACTCAGTGACCGAAAACCTTGGTAGTTTACTCAGCCACTTCCAACTTCAGTGGATTCAGATGTAGAATCTTTTATTTCTCAATGTCTGCAGTTCCTGTTTTCAGAGGGGTAGCTGTGCCTAGTTTGTTCCAGCAAATACGTCAAAGGGTCTTGTGTGGCACCTTGAGCACCAATAGATCTATTGTGACAGAAGCTTTAGTGAACTACGTAGGTCTAATTTGTCAGATGCAAGGAATGCTAAGTCAGCGGAGAGAGAGAGAATAAGCAGTGAGGTCAGAGTAATATGAACTGCAAGAACTGCAGATTATGACAGGGCCTGTCCACACGGGTGCTTTTTTGTGGGTATATTCTGCAACATGTTTTTGGCACACTAATCATGCATTAGTTGTGAACACGTTCTGCTTCAGTTTGTTCTGTGATGCTTCCTCATTATTGAGGAATACTATATGTTATTTTTACTACATTATTGCCAAGGGCTACACAACAAAACAGAACTAAAATAAAGCACGTGTATAAAAAGTTACCAGATTTCAGCAGGTTACAGGATATGCACTGATTGGAAACGAAGCAGTGTGACTGGCCCAAAACTCTTGCAAGCACAAACAGTACTGAAAACAGAATTGCTTATGACTGACCCAATAGCATCATGAGCACAAAGCATTACGAATGTGCAACGAAAAGGATGTCTGGAGGGGCCCATAGACAAGTTTATACTGAATTGTCCACAGGTTTCTGCACAAAGTTTTGACTAAAATTAAAGCTTATCTTTTTGCGAAATAAAGACAGTGGTCAGTCACAAAGCAGTGTGGATGTTCATGCATTCTAACTAGCCAATTAATACCTGTAGTAGAATAAAAACTTGTTTTCCTGATGTAGGTCACAGATGACAGAACTGTACTTCTCGATGAATTCAGCCTTTACATGCTGGAGACTCTCTTTGAAGTCATATTCTTCCACCGGTTTCTGAACATTGCTGTTTCTGATATTAGATTTGCGCCCAGTTCTTTTGTCTTTGCCCTGTGCAGAATACAGAAGACTACTGAAACAATAGTTACACTTCACTCTTCTCAGTACAATGTGCTTCTTATATGCAAAGTGGGAATTGCTGCTGGGGTGTGTTGCTTGTATATGCTGTGACTGGAAGGATTATTGTGACAGGGAAAGAGAGTGGGATTTGTCTATCGTCTTTGCAGGTGGGATCTGCAATAAAATGTTGCTGCATACAATGCTCCCTTTCAGGTTTCTAATCCTTTTCCAGGAAACTCCATTCCCTGCTCCCTTTTCCATTTTCTTCCTCTCAACAGTCAATTCAATGCCCACTGAGTATGCTCAGTCTGGGCTGTTTGGTTGGGGTGCGGGGGTGGGGTTCCTCCTTCCAAAAAGAAAAAAGGCCTGCTGCAAATCTTATGACTCCCGTAGTAAGCCTGTGAATAGTTCCCTCTTGCATGTAGATGCTGTTGTTTTTTGTTACACAAGAATCAGCAAATGGAGAATGAGTTTACTTGGAATGTTTCTGCTGGAGTACTACCAGTGGCAGCCCTTCCACTAATTGTGGTTGGTGCTCACTGGGGTTGGTTAGGATGGAAGGCATGGAGCCCAACAGTAGTTGGAGCCAGAGCCAATGAGTTCTAGCTTTCCCCTCCTCCTCCTCCCTGTTGGGTTCTATGAAGGCAGCACTGAGACGAAGGAGGAGGAAGGTGGCATGCAGAACCACCTCTTGGACAGCTTGCAAGTAAGAAGGCAGGTTGAGGGGGACAGGGCAGTGCCCTATCTGCCCTAAAAGGACCAGGCTCCACTGCCTACCATGAAGCAGGGGGAAATAGCAAGCATGACTGGTGCAGAGTGGAGGGGGCAGCAGAATAGATGAAGGCACAAAATGGTATTCGAACAGTACAGCAAGACTTTTGCTTATGTAGGTGGAAAGATTTGGGCTCCACGTTATGCAGCAAAAACTCATCCTGGCAGTGAATACAGTGGTACCTCGGGTTAAGTACTTAATTCGTTCTGGAGGCCTGTACTTAACCTGAAAGTGTTCTTAACCTGAAGCACCACTTTAGCTAATGGGGCCTCCTGCTGCCGCCGCGCTGCCGGAGCACGATTTCTGTTCTCATCCTGAAGCAAAGTTCTTAACCTGAAGCACTATTTCTGGGTTAGTGGAGTCTGTAACCTGAAGCGTATGTAACCTGAAGCTTATGTAACCCGAGGTACCACTGTACTATTTATTTAGGATGTGGGCAAGGGCATTGTTAGTGCACTTGAATACTGCCAGTTCCCTGTATCATCCTGAGGATGTAGAAAAGGAGGAACTTGGATCACGTGTGTTCCTAAATCAAGATGACTGGCTTGAAGCTATTTTAAAACTTGGTTATCAATGTGATTTAGTCACAGTTAGGTAGTAATAGAGTTGCAGTTTCCATTCTGATTATGAGGCTCTCCCATTTCCTTCTAACCGAGGCTCATTTTCGCAAGGTAATGCTTCCCTCATTTTCCAGATGTTGTTCACTCCCAGGGAGCTGTTTCCTTTTCAGATCAACTAAATGCTCCATTACAACAGTATTCTCCCATGACTTCTGAACTGAGCCTCACCAAGTGACCCACTATTCCATATTATATAGTACTGGCTGTCCCCAATACGTTTGTCTCTTGTCTGGGGAATATGTTCTCCAGTACTACCTGGGCTAGTCCTGAAATGCAGCTAGTGCACAGTCAACAAGAGTGTCTCCAATTCTATACCTCTATTTTGCATACCTCCGAAAAAGCTGCATCTCCAGGCTAAACAAACTGCAATGGCTGGCTTCCTCCTATGAAGGTTTTTACAATGTGAACACAGGATAAAACAGTCTATAAGTCTGTAACCCTGCACTGGGTCTGGTAGTAAGCTCCCCTGAACACATGGAGACTGTCTTCTGAATGCATCAGTTTGCATAGTAAGAGGTTTTCCCTCACCAGATTGCAGCTGGTCCCACCCTAAGTTACCCACTTTCAGTGTTGACTGTTACTACTTGCAGTTTATTTTCCTGATATCTTTTTACTGTCTGTTTTTGGGTTAGCCAAAGCCTTTTGATTCCAGATACTAACTGAAAGACTTTAGAGTCCAAGATAGCCAGGTGTCCATCCACAATGATTCTTTACCAACCCCAATTGTAGCTGGGATTCTGGGTCAGTTTTAATCCCTTGCAGAAGGTTCCTCAGGAAGGATCTCATCTTACTTTACAATGACCCTCCTTTGGGCTTCCCTTGAACTAACACTGTGATCATTCTAATTCCCGCTGAAGCTCTTGGGCGTTGCTGGAATATGATTTCTCTTTTGAGTACTGTTGTTTGCTGCACCTGGATTCACTCACCCAAGGAAAGAGATCTTATATAGTGGATAAGACTATCCGTAGTTACCAGCAACAATGGCTATGTTCTACCTTCATCACTGGAGGTGGTATGCCTCTCAATACCAGTGGCTGGGAATCAAATGGGGAGGGGGTTTGTTGTTGCCCTTGGGTTCTGCTTTCAGATTTCATACAGACATCTGATTAGCCACTCTTAAAACAGGATGCTGGATGATGGTGGGTCTCCAGCCTGATCCCACAGATATCGTCTTACTTTCTTCTCCTTTCCACTGTTGGCACCAATGCTAAGTACCCTCAACTTCCATAAAAGGTGAGACATCCGGGGGCAGGGTTACATTGGAGAATTCAGATTAGTTGGATGAGAGAGAGAATGAATACTGGGCATTTATTATATAATAGCTGTATATTTGCAGATATACAAACAAAACCAACTGGAAGCAAGCAGGCTCCTAAAAGCAGACAACTCGTCATCCTTTCTCCAAAGACAGCAACTGCATTCCAAAGGGAATCCCTTTAAGTAAAATAAATCACAGCTCACTTGCCTTCTCTCTCTCCGTCTTTCTCCAGATGCAAGCTTCTTTACACAGTTTTGGCCCCTCAACCCCATTAGCTGAAAAGTATTATTTGCAAAAGGGAGGGAGATTTATGGCTATCAATGAATTCTAATGTTAGTTTATTAAATGTCTGAACACATCCTGACTGTCATGTGACAGATGCACTCATTCAAGACAGGTAGAATTTTCTCCCAGTGGAGATAGGTATCAGTGAGGATAAATCTTTTTTTGCTATCAATTCAAAACATATCCATTCTCCCTGGACTTTAGGGGTTCATAATACAACTGTTTTAGGAACTGGAGCCTTATAATACAACTGTTGCTGTGTGTTGCCCTGCCTAATTTTATATTATTGTAGTTTTATGTTTTTATTGATATTTCATTCTGTATGTTAATGTAAACTTCATGCTTGCCAGGGAACTTCAGTTGAAGGGTGATCTAAAATACATTAAGTAACTAATTATCACAGGCAATCAGAAGCATTTCCTAATTATTATTTTTTATTATTCATTAAATTTATATTATATTGTGAAGCCTAATTACGAAAGAATGGTCTGTGTAGGGGTTCACCTGCATTAAGAAATAAATTGCTCAGAGCCAGAAAGGAAGAGTTGAAGCATTTTAAGCAAATTAAGCCAAAGCTAATATAATTACAATATATAATATTTCTAGATTTCAATGGGATATTCCAACATGTGCTTAGATCTAACTCACTGAAACCATTAAGACTTAAAAATGTTTAATTTTGACTGGAGAGTGCCCAGTGTGTCTTGCAGAACTGGGAGGCCTACTGGTTAGTGATACTCAATGTCTACAGTGAAGGCTAGTAAAGGTTTTTTTCCATGGGAGTGCACAAACCCAGTAACATTTAGAACTCCTCAAACAGTTGGCTCATTTCCCCTTCCAAGCTCCTTGCAACACAGAAACTTTTCCCCTTCCTTTTTTTCTTACTAGATTCTTGACTAGGCTACTTCCTGTATTCCCACAATAGATTATTACATTCTCATCTATAATTGCATAAATGGTCATTGTCATTATTTGGCTCACAGCAGTTAAGAAGAAGAAGAAGAAGAAGACACGTAATCTATGCCCTGTAGAAAATGAATGTTCATAACCATCTGCCTTGCTGTATTCCTTCCTGAGATAGATAACACTTAACAAATAAATTATTTAATTTAACTTTATATCCTCATAAAAGGAAAACCATTTGCATGTGGATACTTCATAGTCCAAAAGGGTATCGGTATCTCTCTCTCTCTCTCTCTCTCACACACACACACACACACACACACACACGGGAAATATCTGCAGGTTTGGGAGAACCCTAAGAAGTACAAAAAACTTTAATGGGGGTAGAACCCCAAAGAGCCTAATGAGGACTGAGCATGCTCAGGGAACAAGGAATGCTGACTGTTGAGAGGGTGGGAACAGGAAATTGAGTGATGGTGAAATGGAGGATCCTAGAAGATGACAAGACAGGCTAGGAAGAATTCTGAACAGGAGCACCCCACATTTTGCTTCAGGTTCCACTTGTTAATTATAAGACAAGCGGCAGCCCTTGCAAATATACCAGGCTGGCATGCATGGTTCTACCACCACTTATCTTCTCAACAACCTTGTCAGGTGGGTTAGTGACCGATCCAAGGTGACAGCTGAATAAGGATTTGAAGCTGGCCTGTGTTAACAATCAAAACACTACACTTCATTAGATCTCGTTGACTTTAGGAGGTGAATGTAAGCTCCAAGTCAGCTCCAACAGCTCCTACCAAGCCTTGAAGCTGCTCATCACAAATCTTCCCCCTTCCCCACATCTTTAAAGGCAGGCATCTGGTCATCTAACCACCAGCCCCAATTCTAATCCTTCCTGAATCAGGGCAGGGAAAGAGGAGTGGAATGAGGTACCTTATTAATATAAATAACTTGAATAAAATCAATGGCAGTTTCATGGACCAATTCTAGTAGGAATGGGCCTACTTGTTTCAGTTTTCCACCTTTTTCCACTCCTGGCAATGTAGAATAGCAATGGCCAGCCTTTCTGGCAAACGGACCACAAGGCAAGAGTTTGAGGCGATACCAGTTTTGTGCCCCAGTGTCCAGGGCTTACATGTTCCATGTAGAAAAGGCGATAAGTCTTTTCTTCCTTCAGGCAGCAGGGACACAGGGAGCTAGCTGCCTTATTTATATCAGTGGTAGCCAGACAATTGGCTCATCAAGCTAAGAACTGTCTACACGGACTGGCAGCAGCTTTCTCCCACGTGTCAGGAAGGAGTCTTTTCCCAGCCTTGCCTGGAGGGACCTTCTCATAGCTGTCAACTTTCAGATTTGAAAATAAGGGATTAGCAGCCTCGAAAATAAGGGATCAGCAGCCTCACCTGTCCCGGGGACAGTCTACGGGATATCTAACAATCCGGGATAGCAGCGGGAAACGGCGCTGGAATAAGGGAATTTCCCACAAAAAAAAGGGAATGTTGACAGCTATGGACTTTTGGCATGCAAAGCGGATGGTCTACCACAGAGCTGTGGCTGTTCCCCGATTCATTACAAGTTCCAACTTCGTTGGAGACTTTAAAGCAGAAGTTGGATAGCCATCTGCAATGGGTTCTTCAGTTAAGGTTCCTGCATTGCAAAAGGGGGTTGGACTAGATGACCCTGGGTCCCTTCCACCTTGGTGCCCTCTGACAGTTTGGGGACTACAGTTCACTGATCATCCCCAACTGCTGGCCATACCAAGCTGGCGCTGATGAAAATCCAACACCCGTGAAGGGCACCAGATTGCCCACCCCTTCTGCAGTGAAGCCACCACCAGAGCAGGGAATGGTTACTGCAGCGGGCCAAGGTACAAGCACCGTTGTCCCGCGCCCTCCCGCAACCTTTTCCTCCAAACAACAAAAAACTCCTGCCGTTCCTCGCAAGCCGCGCTTGGGGGCGCCAGAGAGTAACCACCAGGAGGCGGAAGAACGTGAGAGCGTATAAGCCTGCGTTGTGAGGGCTCGCCTTTTTTTTGAGTGGCAGGTCCAGCAGACCAATCCGAAAGTACGGTGAGCCTACAGGCGGAGAACGGGGCAGAGGGATAAAATCCAGGCAGCGCAGGAGATGCTGCGTTTCCATAGCAACTGCGAAGATTGTGGCTCGGGCGGGCGGGCGGTAGGGAGAGTTTTATCCAGGACAGAGCAGATAAAATTAAAGTGGGCGGAGGAGGTGGATGAACGAGGATCGGGGCCCTTAGCCGGTGTGAGCATGGGCACTATTCGGGTCTATTACACCAGTGTCACAGGATCCAGGGAGGTGAGAGGAGAGGGTTTAGGCGAGAGGTAGAGACGGCTCCCACCCCCCCCCCCCCCGGGATGCAGCGATAGAGCCACCAAACGGAGGGTTGGGTAGGTGGGTCCATCACCTGGCGCGGAATAGGAGGGGCTCGTGGCACAGGTGTGGGCTGACTTAGAGGAAATCCATGGCACTCTGCACATGCTCAAATGCACCTTTTGGAAAAACAGGAGCCCATTCCTTACTCTCAGCTACTTTGACTTTTGGCTGTACATATCTATCTAGGCGCACGCACAAACCTTGCTCTCTTCTAAGTGGTGCTGGTGCCAGGCTATTTCACGCCTTGGGCAAGGCTAACTACTTGGGTGCACTGCTTTCCCCTGCCCCGCAAATTAAAAAATGCTAACTTCAATTTTCAAAAACAGACACCTTGTAGGAAAAAATATATATGAAAACTTGAAACTGCTACATTTTAGATTGCAGGAATAAGCCATACAACCATCTTCGATTATGTTCCTGAAATACGAAAGGAAGTGTTTTAGCACACAAATCATTTTGAATACTCTTGTGAAATGTGATGTTGAAATTTATGTCTCTTAAAAGTTTCAGTTTCAGGCACATCAAAATCTAACTTTGCCTGCCTTTGGAAATTTTGTCACTGATTCCTCCAGGTCAAGTGCCAAAGTTTTGACATGTTTGATTGATATAGTTGCCAAGCCAACTAGTCTCTTTTGCCAATATTGTTGAGCCTATGTAAGTTTTTATAAATTTTGAGCTTGAGAAACTTTCCTCAAAAGCATAAAAGAAAAGCAAAATGGTATCAGAAATGTATAAGATATAACAAAAACTAATCTGTGTAAAACTGTGCCCATCAAAGGTCAGTACTATACACCCACCTCTATCTACATCCTTGACTGCTGCCTAGTTGACCTTATGAGAGCACCAGACCTGCCTCTAAGGGAGGGTTGTTCTGCACTTTTTCAGAGCATTTATTCAGAACACCACACTTTGCTAAGTCCTGGAACCCCAGTGCTTTGTGTCAACATGCAAATAGTTGACTACTCCGTTAGAAAATCCAAATATTATGCACTATGTTTTCTTCTAACTGTCTGACCTGATTTACCACCACCACCACCCAGCTCCAATCTGACATTGCTGGAGGAATGTACATACACACACTGCCTCACCTGTGACAGAAGGGGAAAAAACAATACAGGGAAGGAAAGTCCCTTCAGCAAATGGGAAGCTCTTCCTTAGATAGCGGCATGCATAATTATGATGATGACAAAGCTACCTTGCACTTCTAGCTAAGACTGTCATGCTAACCCCACTTACCTGTGAGGAAGCACCGTTTAACTTAACTTAAAACACTAAAACAGCATCATTAAAAACAAAGTCAAATGATAGAGGATCCAGTTTTAGGGATCAATGGAAAACTGGGCAAAAAGTCTTTACGAAACTGAAGCAAATAATTGACAATGCTTCACAAATGGCACAGGGAAGGGCGTTCCAAAGCAACAGTGGGAAACAACCATTAACAAGTCACCATTCTAAGATATCTTGTAGGTTGTGGCATCATCATAAATTTTTCCCTGGATGATCTAAGTTGGTTTTCAGCACATCCCCCAGACCACTTTCCCCTCTCCTCAGGCCACACTCCCTCACCTGCTCTACTCCTCACCCTCCTCGAGCGCTTTTGTTTGTGGCTGAAATGTGTCTCTGAACTGTGAAAATAGATTCTAACTGGTCCTAGAGGTCTATATGGGGTAGGGGGTGATTGTCCTTCATGTAAGAGAGGCTCCATGATTCAGGGCTACCATCTTCAACAGGAATGTTTGTTTCTGCCTAGGTAAAGCAAAGGCAGTCTGATGTCATTCGCATTCTGGATGGAAACCGTATGAAGTACCAGTTAGTGGATGTGTCCATCAGTGAAAGTTTGCTACAAGAGATGAGGGACAAAGCTGGGAAGCCAGATGCGATTCCACCTCAAATATTTAATGGAGAGGAGTATTGTGGGGTAAGAGATCAGGCTCTACACAAACACAAAGACACACACACGAAGCAGCTAAGATACATAAGAGACAACCTGCTGGATCAGGCCAAAGCTCAATGTACTGTTCTCACAGTAGCTAACCCACAATTATATTTTATCCATTTGAACTATTGTCTATTGCATTTTTAGCCCAAACTTCCTCAAATGTCCAAGCACCATTGCCTTCTGTCAATGATTCTTACAACAATCCTGGAGGGCAAGTTGGGTTGAGAGATAGTGACTGCTCCAGCAAGCCTTATAATTGACTGGAGATTTTAATCCAAGCCTCTCAGGTCCAAGCTTTTTCCAACCTGATGTTCTCCAGCTGTTTTGGGACTACAGATCCTGTAAGTTCAAGACAATGGTCAGCAACGATGGGAGTTGTAGTCCAGCAACATCTGGAGAACACCATCTTGGGTAAGGTGGCTGTAACCATTACACATACCAAACAGCAGATTTGTTGGTTTCTTGAATCTATATAATGGGCTGTTTGCATTTGTTTTTAGGATTTTGAGATGCTGTATGAAGCAACTGAAAATGAAGAAGTTAGGAAATTCCTGAAGATAGGAAGGGTAGACAATGTTGCAAGAGAAGGGATTTCCATCTGAGATGTGGCTCCACATAGATATTAAAATATTGTCCAGTTTTTGACTTAGATGAAATTTGTGAATTCTGCGTGTCAAAAAAATTCCAAGATATAAATACCTTAGTTGCACAAATGACAAATCAGCTTTTTGGATAACGTTTGCTTCAAGTGCCATGCCGTCTTCTCTGTGAAACAATGTTCAGCACTACCTTCTTCAGAAGCTCAGTGGAAACACATTGTTTTTAGCTATGAAAAAACATTTGAGTATAGGTACTGGAAAATATTGCACATCTGGATGGAATATTAAAACGGCAGCCAAAATCAGCTGATCTGTTAACAGTCCTTTGTCTTATGGGTAATAGTCCACTAATGTCTCATGCCCATTAAGAACATAGGAGCCCACTGGATCAGGCCAGTGGCCTTTATAGTTCAGCATCCTCTTCTCAGTAGTTAATCTGATACCTTTGGGAAGCCCACAAGCAGGATCTGAATGCAATCTGTGATTTCCAGAAACAGTATTCAAAAGCATCCTGTCTCAGACTATGGAGGCAGAGCACAGCTACCATACTCAGTAGCCATGATAGCCTTACCCTCCATGAAGTGTCTAATTCTCTTTTAAAGCCAACCAAATTGATAGACATTGCTGCTTCTTGTGTGAACGAATTTCATAGTTTTATTCAAATACAGTATGCCCGATGTGGCAGTTCATAGAACTACTTCAAACAAACCGAAAGAACCATTAATTTATGAAAGATTGCATGGTACACAACATGATACAGCCCACAGAATTAAGACAAGAGCTTCAGGATGGTTTGGGGTTCAGATGAAAAGGGGCCTGGGTATGTGTCCTTCCTCCTTTGTCATTTGTGCCATTTCATTTTAGATAGAGGAAAGTAGGCTGCAGGTGTGGGTTGGCTTGCATGGAGAAGGTCCCTGGTTCCATCTCCAGGTGGGAATGTTCCCTGCCTGAAACTTTGAAGAGCCACTGCTGGCCAGTGTAGACAATGCTGAACTGGATGGACCATTTGCGTGACTCGGTATAAGAAAGCTTTGTGCCTATGAAAGGGTCAAATCTCTCCTCCTCAACTATTATGACCCTAGTAATTATCACCACTACCCTGGGGCTGCTTTGTGATTTATTTATTTTTTCATGCGTATTGAATGCAAAAATATGTATGCAATGTCATATGTAAAGGTAAAGGGACCCCTGACCATTAGGTCCAGTCGTCACCGACTCTGGGGTTGCGGCGCTCATCTCGCTTTATTGGCCGAGGGAGCCGGCATACAGCTTCTGGGTCTTGTGGCAAGCATGACTAAGCCGCTTCTGGCGAACCACAGCAGCACACGGAAATGCCGTTTACCTTCCCGCCAGAGCGGTACCTATTTATCTACTTGCACCTTGACGTGCTTTTGAAATGCTAGGTTGGCAGGAGCAAGGACCGAGCAACGGGAGCTCACCCCATCGCGGGGATTCGAACTGCCGACCTTCTGATCAGCAAGTCCCAGGCTCTGTGGTTTAACCCACAGCGCCACCCGCGTCCCTAATGTCACATGTAGTTTGGACCAAAATGCTGCTGTTCATCATCACTTCCTAAACCAAAACTCTCTTGTGCAGAGCTACTGCAAGCCATTCTTCTCCCAACATCATCTACCCCTCCATCAGCCAAGATTTTGTGACTCTTTTGGTGGATACTTTAGCAGATCTCAGGGTTTTTCAGTACTTGCCAATATTTTCCTCTTGTTTTTCAGTGGCCCATTTGGGCTTCATTTCTGTTTGCTTTTAGAATATATGATTAAATATAAGAGAACACAGTAGAACTGGGATCCCCTGTTGTAGGCTGGAGCAAAGGGAAAGGGAAAAGCTGAAGGCCACAGTCTCTCTAACATGGAAGCATGTTAGATATTACAAATAAACAAGACACCAGTAAAGCTTGTGTATGTGTGTGTCAGGTAGAAATCTTTATTATGAAATTCATACTACTGTAACACAAAACAGAGTGAACGGAAAGATGCAGAAGTACATCTGTTACTACAGATTTTTTTGAAATCGATTTTCATTGCTGTGTGTTGATTACCATTATTAAGACTAACTTAGCAGAAAGACAAAATACCCTTCAAAGAAATCAGCAATTGTGAAAAATATATATATTAAGAGAGAACCAGAGCATCCTGTGATTTGATTTCCTAATCCAGGACCCAGAATGATCACAGAAGGGGACAGAAAGGTTTTTTTAAAAACCCCATTAAAAACAGGAAAGGCAGTCATTAATTAAAAAAAAAAAAACCCTTAAAAAACAACCCCAAGATAGTTAAAAATGATAAGCCTGATTATTATTAATAAAAACAAGAAAGCCCTTACTTGAGGAAAGGGTACATTATCTCAAGTTTTAAATATAAAGCACAAGAATTCAATTTTACCAAGTCTCAAAAAGCAGTTTAAAGGCAAATGCTTATAAAGGAGATGTTGGCTTAGTTCTCACGGTGCTGCTGAATCTACATCTGGGGCTGCCTACTTTTTCAAGATGCAGGTGTGCCATGCATGACTGAATGTCGTTCCATACAAACAAACCACACCCTCCATGTAAACAGGGAATTTTCTTTTTGCATGATGTAGTTATGGCCTATAGTCACAATGAATTATATAGTAGTACAGTAGTACCTTGGTTTTCAAACATCTTGGAAGTCGAACATTTCGGTTTTCAAACAAATCTCGGAAGTTGAACATGCTACGCGGCTTCTGTTGAGTGCAAGATAGCTGTCAGTCCTTGGTTTTCAAACATTTCTGACCTCGAACAGTCTTCCAGAATTGATTATGTTTGAAAACCAAGGTACCACTGTAGTAGTAGTACTACCATTTTAGAATGGGACAACAATGTATCACCTAAAGGGGTATACCTCAATGAGAATTAGCCTCTTGCTGGATTATTGTGCCCTAAGATTGCCATCAAGGCAGCTTGAACTACACAATATTTTTTTCTTTAACAAGCTAGCAATAATGCTTGTTATAGATTTTTCACCATATCTCCTGGAATCATTGCTTGCTACCTGAACCTGCAAAGCAGTCCAGGGATAATAAATGGCACACTAACATTCAGAATTGAACATTTTCTTCCCAGAACACATGATAAAGTTGTCCTGAACTGGGATTCACAGTAGGACCAAGATCAAAACTGGGCACAATGGCTGTGACTGAACAAAACTGAATCCTAGAAGCAGCAGCAGCAGCAGCAGCAGCAGCAGCAGCAGGGTTCGGCTCACAGCACGGATGAAAGCTTGTACTTACTTTGACCTTTGATATGAACATAAGACCTCTTCTAGCAGCTAGTTTCCAAATAGTGATTGGTTGGAAGCTTCCAGCAAGTGTAGGCAGCTATCCTGCCCAACTTCGGATCTGAGCCACTGATACTAAAGAGATCAACTGGAGGTTCCATTTTAGCAACTGTAGCTAACAGGCATGGATAGGTCTGCCTTCCGTGAATTTATCTAATTGGCAGTTAAATTCATTTAAGACACAATCGTAGCTGTACCCTAAGACAGAGAATTCCATTATAATATGATGGTACCAAATACTAGCCATTGCCTCTTACTGGAAAAGTCTCAATATTCTATGAATACATTAACCCAACATTCACAGGTGCTGTTTTTGCAGGAATTCTATGGGTTTGCGAATTCTTTTTTTAAAAAAAAAAAAAAACACAAACAATTCTAAATTTGCAGGCTGTTTGGAATTGCTTTATTGCAATACTATGGCATGAGTCAATATGACAATTTAAGATGTTCCGTTGCCTTAGTGGTTGTAGAAATGACAATAAAAAGGAAATGTCAAAATTGCTTCCTGAAATTGGCTGTGATATTCCCTGCTGTCATACCCCCAAGACTGCCAAGTTATGGTGATTCGCGTAAGAATATTTGTTCCCACCCTCCCATACTGTGTTTGGAAGAAGCCACATTCCAGGGAAGGAGAGTGAAGGTGTTAAGGGGACTCATGAACTCAAGATCTTGTACCATTGCACACCATTCAACACAGAGAGAAGTGGGGACTTGCATTCCAATTTAGAAGCACTATTTTCCCAGTGCTGACTCCGTGCGAGTTATATTTACATGTCCTAAAACAGCCACGTTTTTAAGGAAAGCAATTTTTTATCCCACTTGTAAAAGTGAGCAACTGAAAAACAACATCCACAACATAGTCCAAAGTTTCTAAAATGCATGCAAGAAACTTAAAAATATGCATCTGTTCAAGCTCAATATATGGACTACAACTTCAATAGACCACCACTGTTCTTTCCGATGCAATGTGTTCAAGCTTTTGTCCTTCCAACAGGAATTATCCTATCCCACCCTTGACTCAATTTACTACAGAGTGCAGTTAGAGCTGGAGCGTCTCCAGATGCTAATTCACTGGAGGACAAAGAAAGAGACAGGCAAAAAGGGATGGCTTCCTACTGTATGGCAAAACATGAAAACAAACCATTGGTTCACCCTACTTTCTGCAGTCCTACATCACTTTGGGCACACATGGGCAAATACAATGTGTGAATCAGGTCCCCATGGGTGTAGGCCACCTGTCTCAGTTATTAAAATTGCTGCCTATATATCCCTAATCTGGTTGAAACATGAATGATTAATCTGGACTGGGGAACCTTCTTCAGCCAAAGGGCCACATGACTTTCTAGACAATCTTCTGGGGGCCGCATGCCAGTGGTGGGTGATGACAGAAGCAAAAGTGGAACAACAATTTGCTCACATATCTCTCCGTATCTTTCATCTAGGAAAGCAAGATGCACGATCAGAGCTTAAGGGCACATTATATCCTGGCAAAAACACTAAATAGGTATAAAGCGGGCTGATGTGACTTGAGAAGAGTCCCACAGATAAGGTACATTTGCTTCCCAGGCCTGAGGTTCCTCATCCCCTGATTAAGTCCCAGAGAATGAAGAACATGCTATGGATTTCTGTAGCCCTCCTTCTATCTTGTGCACTGGTTGCACTTCCATTTCCTAGGTCACTTCCAGACAAGTGACTTATTGGGCATTCTACCTCATTTGTTTGCACAAAGTTTGTGGGCAAGTTATATGGTGTGCACTGTTGTCAAGCATTCTGTATTTTTTTTGGGGGGGGAGGTTACATTACATCATGTCAAACATCTGTTATGCTACAATTTACAGTGCATTTTCCAATCACATCCTTTCGAAAGAAAATCATTTGGAGTGGGGGAAGTAGATTTATTGTTCAGGAGTGCCAAATCCACATTAAAGGTGTAGCCTAAATTTGCTGACATGCAACTGAATCCCAACTGCAGTTGTCTGGAAGTGGTCCTGGTTTCTTGTTTCATTGGTATGAATAATTAGGAAAAGAATGGACAGCAAGACCCTCTAAGCAACGATCTGAAACTATGGACTGAAGTAGGTTTGCAACCCATAGCTTGCAAGCAAGCAATAACCCATAGTTTTCTGATTCAGATGTCACTGCAAGCTACAATAATCACATCCCAAAGGAGACAGAAAGGAGAATCCATGCAGAAGAGGGGAGAAAGAAACATATTTTCCAATCCAAACAGAGCTCATACTAAGAAACCTGCTCAGAAACAGCATTTGGGCTAAAGCAAATATTGAAAGCTACTCCATAAACTGCTGTGCTTCCAACTCTTTTACATTACAGAGCTTGTAAAATAAGGCAGCAGCTGCTTTTGGACTGCACCCATTTCTTCAAACATTGCATCCAACATTTTCTATTGGGGGGGAAAAACAAGTCAGCGAAGGAAGTCACATAACTGCTTTCTCTTTTAAACTTCACTGTCTTCTCAAAATATTCTGGAGTATGGAGACTTTACTCCTCAAGCTCATCACCCAGGTCTAACAAATGATAAGATGGTGACAAGCTACACTATGTCTAAAAAGGAAGCCTGATTCTCAGAGCGCTTGCATATAGTAGACAGTCCTGCAAATTGGTATGAATCCCATTCATAAACACACCAATTAAAGGGAGTGGGGGGAAACCCTTGAAAAGAAAATACTTGGTAATAAGGATCAAGTAGACTATTAAGGTCAAAATCAACAGATTAGAAAGCATCTTTGTTCAATATACAAGGGGACAAGAGATAAATTGTGGCCAGTAGACAAAAGGTGTTTGGCAAGATATCACTGGATCAGAGCTTTGGCACACAGTCTTCAAGATTACTTTCCAACTTAGAGGCCTTGATGAATCAGTCCCCCAGAATGCTTTCTGAGTGAAGTTATTGCCTGTTGCATGATAACAGCTCAATATTGCACTAAATGAAAATCAACACGACGAGCAAAGATTGCTGAAAGCAGATTCATGGCATTGCAAATCCATGCTGACAAATCTGTAGAGGTGGCACTTTTTCTCAGTATCTCTCTTCCTACAAAGCAGCGAAGATTTACTCAGAATGACTATTATTCCAAATAGCAATAACTTGATTATGCTTTTCAAGTTCTAATACATACACGAGAAAAGTGGAATGGATTTTTTTTTTGCAAAACGTCGCATGAAAGGCTTCAAATTTTACAGAAGATGAGGACCAGAGCAGGTTTATTTCTTGTGTTTTTTTGGCTTATTTGTAATATGGTTTGTTATGTACATTTCACCATGACTGCACTAAAATCTTACACAAGTAGGCATTTTCAGGTCCTTGAAAAACAGATATAATGTAATCAAACCTCGAGTTTGTGAGAATTCCTCACATTGGTCACTCCAATGAAAATTATAAGGCATTTTTAATAAAGATCTAAGCTGTGTGCTGAAAAATTACAGTAGACAATTTCAAAATGCATCCTACAAATGAAGAAATACCCTAACCTCAGCAAGCAACTACAACTATTACTACACTACACATTAACTTTTTTTATTTCAAAAATCACATTTAAAGAAACACCAACATTATTTTTCAGTAATGTTTTTGAGGCACTGGCGTTGATTAACAGAATTATTTGCTGCTGTTTCAGCTGTTGGATCTACAAGTATAACTACAGATTTGCATTACTAATAGTAAAATAAGGTGGGTTTTTTTTTAAGTTTACAAAAAATAAAATAAAAAATTACACAATTGCCAAAAAGCAGATTGCACCACTTGGGTGAACAAGTGGGGGGAAATTCATTATTTCTAAACACTTCCCTTAATGACACCCTTTGTCTTCATGGCAAGTCTGAGTTTTCACTTGGCATTTTCCATTTTATATTCATGTATAGTGGGGATACCGTGTGCAGCAATCAGCATAGGGGGTGGGGGTGGGGGGTGGGGCGGAATTCTTGAAGCATAGATAATTTTGCTATTGTATCAAAAAGCTGTTGAAATTTCCCTTCGCAGAACATTTAAGGCTTTAGGCACAGGGGGAAATATTCACGCTTCTTGCTTCGCCAGGGCTTCTGCCTCCTAGAACAACAACAATAACAACAACATCAGAAATAAACAAAATGCAAGGGTGTTATTACTATTAAAACAAAACAATGGCAACTTGGACACGTGTGTTTGTTTTGATGACAGACAAGAAAGGAAAAATTGTAGCGCTACTTGGGCAAATAACAAAGCCACATTGTGTAAATGGCAGAATTCCCACTGATCTCAGCTTATCACTCACAGGCCCAAGGAGACACTGTGTGCTAGCATAGGACATAAAAGGCAGACTAGCTCAAACACCGGCTGGAACTGCAAAGTCTTGCCCCTTTCACACTGGTTCTGTTGCTCATTGCTGCTTCTGCCTTCTGCAACAACAGTGGGCAGGGAGTGGCTGGCAGTAGGAATGGAACCAGTGGGAAAGGGCAAGATGGCAGGGCTTCAACTAGTACTCGGCCATGCAATCCTAACCATATCTGCTCAGAAGCAAGTCCCACTGAATTCAATTGGGCTTAAGCCCAGAGATGTGGGGTTAGGATCACAGCCCAAGTCACTTAAATGCCTGCAAGTTCATGTTTCAAGGTGGGCTCAGAGCATATCTGAATAGAGGCTGATCCATTAGGGTAGACAGGATACTGCCCCACCAACTGCAGTCCTTCTTACTTACAGGCCAAGCCAGGGGTGGTCCTGCCTGCCATCTTCCTCCTCCTTAGTCTTGGTCTTCCATTTGCAGAGCTCAGTAGGAAGGAGGAGGATGGGTACAAAGCTAAAATTAGTGGGCTCTGGCTATCATTGGTTCTAGCTCTATCTACCTTCCTACCGCCCTACTAGTCCCAATAGAAACCAGCACCCCTGGAAGAATCTGTTCCAATGTCTCTGTATCTTACATCTGTCAAAAGTCTTAAGTTGCATTCTAATTTGTGCAACAGCAAATCTAGAATGTTCTCCCTAGAGATGCTCAACAGCTACACTCCTATGTGTTTCCTGGATTGTGAACTGCATTTTTTTGCTGTTGTTGGTGATGAGTTTTTAAACCAGCACATTTCTAGATGTTTCCATTTTAGAAACCTTGATTTTTTTTTTGCACTAAGTTGTTGCTTTGGGTATGTTTTAAATAAATTTATAAGAGTGTGTGTGTGTGTTTAAAAAACAACCACCCAGGTTTTCAGCACATACAGTATGTACTTGGCAGGGCCAATCCTGGCTCTCAGGTGTGTTTGCGAGGACATCACATGTACATTTTTTGTGTATACTCAAATCCTGCTATCAGCAATTCAGTAGCTAGGTTTTGAAAAGTCAAGGTATATCCCCCAGAGTTTCTTTTCAGGGAAACTGGTGTGTGTCTCTCTGTGTGCAAGAGATATAACCAAAACACACACATACACAAAAAAAAATGGTTCACAATACAAATGCTAAATATTTTCAAATCCTCCCCCTTTTAAATTCAAGGAGTCAATAAGCATGACAGCTAATAACCTTAAGAACAATAACCTTAAGAACCAACTTATCAGATCAAAAGGTGGGCTGGAGAGAAAATGTAGCACTGTGAACACTTGATAGCGAATCAATTACTCTTCAAACGTGTTTACATAGAAGAATGCTAGCAGGCAAGCTAGTCCTATCTCATCTGATTGAAATCAGAAAAGAATTTTCCCATTTCAAGACCTCTCACAGGAATCCAGTGCTTAACTAACCTAGACAGCTACGCAAAACAAGTCTGTAAACTACCTAAGGCAAAAGTTTGTTACAGAGAGACAGCACGTTCCAAGAATGTTCAGATATTTCACAGCTAACATTCACCTTTACAACAAACGCTTTAGCAAGTTCTGATTTTTAAGGACTCCCTCTCCTGCCCCCTCTTGTGGATTGTTTCCCTACCCACCTCCTCTCTTTCCTACACATTATGGTAAGCACAGGATTTAAGCAGTCTACTTTCTGCCAGAAAAAGCAGCCAACCTGGATCAGGGCTAAGGTGTGGTGGGAGAGAGAGAGAGAGAGAGGTTTAACCCTTTCTTCCCTGCAATACTGCCCCATCAAGGGTATACCAGCAATACACAGCACCACTGGGGCAATTAGCAGCACCTCTCTCTCTCTCTCTCTCTCTCTCTGTGTGTGTGTGTGTGTTGGAGGTGGGATGATTTTCAGTGGGACAATGGTGCAGAAGGTTACGTGCCCCCAATGCTGCAGTCATTATGTGGACAGTGATCCTCCATAGATGCTTTCTGCAAAAGCACATAGCTTGACTTTCTGAAAACAAGTAGAAATCTTCCCTTAGAACTACTATGATGTTTTACTAAAGAAGTGAAAATATTTACACAAATACCTGTCTGGGGGGAAAAAAGCAGGCATCAAGATGAAATTATACGTACCTTGGAACCAGGTGGGGCAGTCAAGCCTAAAAAGGCGTATACCGCATTATTCTCTCTAGCTTCGAAGAAATCGTCATAGTTCTTTCAGATTAAAAAAAAGCAGAAAGACAATCAACATTCCAGAAATAACAATCCAGTTAGAATGGCTCATCCAAGGGTCACCAACATGGCACCCTTGGGCACAGTAGAGCCCATTGAAGTCTTCCCCTGGCCCTTACAAAAACCATTCTCACTCAATGCCCCCTTGGTTGTGAAGATGGTTATCTTCTTCTAAATTGAAAAGTTTAAGAAGTCAGAAAAGCAACACTCCTTCCCACTTCCTTTTTCAATTCTACATCCTTTTCAAGACTCAGATTAATTCTACTGGTTCCAATGTTTACACTTTGGAAAAGCAAAATGTTTGCATAAGTGCTTATTCTCTACCCCCCCCCAACTCTCTCAGGGAGGGCATGATCTGGAGGAGCGGGGAGTAATCAGAAGGCGCTCACCCCAAAATCTAAAAAGGCTGGTGAACCCTGGGCTAGTCGTTGAGATATGGTAGCTGGGGGCTCATGCAGGGAGAAGTGTTCTCTAAGATAACTTGGCCCCAGGTTATGAAGGACACAGTATCTTGCTCTTCATTAGCTGCATTTGTAGGTGGGGTTGATTGAGTTGCTTCCCCCCTTCCTTCAAGAAAGAACACTCTACTCCCACTGCCAGTTGCCCTAGGACCACAAAACAAAAATGAGGCATACTCTGGCCTGTGCCATCAGCCAGGGCCCCAAAGGCTGCTGGGAGCTGCACTCCATGCCTCCTGGAAAAAGCATCATGTTAAGCAAGAGACCAACCTGGCTCTTATTGGCCAATAAAGGAGAAGCTGCTAGCTTTCATTTTCCCACCTCATTCCTTTTCTTTCTTTCTTTTTTATCATGCCTTCAAGGGGACCCCCCCCCCCATATTTTATTCAAGTTGGCACCCCTGTTTGGCGTGACAATGAGTTGGATTTATTGATGTATTTTGACATCATAGGATTGCTAGTTTCAATTAGCCTCAGGAGAAAGTTACATTTGTATACTGCCTATGCAAATGTAACCTAGCCAAGATTTTTTTAAAAACTTGGGGTGTGGTTTTTTTGGATGTGATTGAACAGTTTTTTATTGTAACATTCACGCTACTCTTTTATTATTGACGTTATTATGAAATTGTTCTCGTAACTGTTGCTTTTATGATGTATTGCTGTTTTCATTGATAAAAGCTACACACCGCTAATGTAAGCATAATTTTTTTGTGGAAAGACATCATACAAATAAAGTGAAGATGATATCTTACTGTTTTTTAGGACCCCCCCCCACCTTTTAATTGCTAAGTTGCATTTTTATAAACTACCTTGAGGGTATATAAAGGCAGGACAGTTTTTAAAGTGTGTGTGTGTGATAGTAATTATATTCTATTTCTTACCCACCCTTCATGAGAAGAGCTTCCTTCAAAAGTTGTCATATCTAGTGCAGGCTGGGAATTAGAATGCCTGGCAATCGTCTAGCTCCCAAATACAGCATTAAGCTCCAAAATTTCTAACATTAACAATGTATAGCTTGAACATGGTGCCAAGACAGTAGGTCTCAGTATCCATGGCAACAACAATACATGCATCTTTAAACTCCTACTCTGTTTCTTCCTCCTCCAGGTTCTAAAAGGACCGGATAATTGCCCGCTAGGCCAAGAGCACAACATCTGATACTTGCAGAAGACACAGATGTCCCCCCCCCCCCCACTGCCCAACTGACACCCTGGAAGATGCCAACAGTGAGCATCTCATTTCTTGCTATCAAGTTGTACTACAGAAATGAGAGGCCATGCATCTTTCTGTAACTTGTCTGCGCTTGTAATGAATCAGTCTTTTAGTGTGGCACGCTCCCCTATTCTCTGGGTAAGCACCTTCACTGTACTGTTTTCAACATCTTCTGAAATCCACCCAATATTTGTTTTTAAAACTGCCAGTTTTTTAATCTGCAAACCAGTTAGAGGATTTGGATTTTTTTAAAAAAATAGGTGGTGTATAAATCTTTTTTTAACCCCCCCAAACCCCCCCCCCCCGTCAAATCACTATCTTATCTTTTGAAGCAGTGCTCTTTTTCTTAAAAATGATAATAATCAGCATCCTATTTAAAAATGAAAAATTTGAATTAAAAACATGGGAGGAGATTGATGCTGCAATCCTGTACAGATTTGCCTGGAGTGAATGGAAATTATTTCTAAGTAGGCATTGCACAGGATGACACTGGTAAATCCCTAAGCTTTCTGTGTCTTGAATGATGGAAATCTAAGTTAACTCAAACAGGAAGCCAAAGGCAAAAGGGGAAGCTACACATTTCCACATTTTAGTGGGACTGGATCCAATCTGCACCAGGGAAAGTTCAAGCGTGTACACTGCTTAAGCAAACACAGTATAATGTATTTTGGTAAGGTAGAGTTGCTGTTTTTAAGTGACAGCTGGTGCTCCGACCCCTGGAAGGGAAAGGATAATGAAAAACAGACCACCCAGATACACCATTTCCTTTCAATTATTATTATTAATTAACCATCATCAGCGACACAGAACACATTGCTGGATTCAGTCAGGTTGACTCTATACTGCCAAGTGTGACAGAGGAAACCAGTAATTTTGCAACTGCAGTTGAGAAAATACTAGTGTTTAACGGAGCCAGCAGGAGGTTTTTCAATTCCCCCTGTGATGTAATCAGCCTAGCTCTTTAATGCAAAGCCTCTCTCACCAAAGGTCACAGATCTCAGGCAGGTCACATGGGAGAACCAAAGTGAAGTTAGCCAAGAAGCTGCCATTAAGGGCAAAACGTTTTGCATGTCTTCAAGTCATAAAGGCCAGGCACCTAAAGCAGAGTCTTGTGTTATGAGTACCAAGGGAATAACACAGAAAGCTCCAAATCAGCCACAAGAAAACAGAAGAAAGGGGTTAGAATACGAGCATACTGCATGGTTTTTACACACTGGGGAACTTATTACATGGTTTTAACTCCTCAAAAGGTTCCGACTCCTCAAAAGATTCCATCAACAGTGTCTCTGAAAATTTTTACACATCCTTTGGGAAGACAGGCAAACTAATGCCAGTGTAAAGATCACCAGTGTCAAAGCAATGATTCTTCAACATCAACTTCATTGGACTGGTCATGTTGTTCAGATGCCTGATTATCATCTTCCAAAGCAACTACTCTATCCCAACTTAAGAATGGAAAGCGAAATACCGGTGGACAACACAAGAGGTTTAAAGACTTTCTCAAGGCAAATCTTTAAAAATGTGCTATTAAAAAAAAAAAAAAAGGTAAAGGGTCCAGTCATGACCAACTCTGGGGTTGCGGCGCTCATCTCGCTTTATTGGCTGAGGGAGCAGGCATACAGCTTCCGGGTCATGTGGCCAGCATGACTAAGCCACTTCTGGCGAACCAGAGCAGCGCACAGAAACACCATTTTCCCTTCCTGCCGGTGCGGTACCTATTTATCTATTTGGACTTTGACATGCTTTCGAACTGCTAGATTGACAGGAGCAGGGACCAAGCAACAGGAGCTCACCCCATAGCAGGGATTCGAACTGCTGACCTTCTGATCGGCAAGTCCTAGGCTCTGTGGTTTAACCCACAGCGCCACCCGCGTCCCACTAAAAAATGTGCTATAAACACCAACTATTGAGAAAACACTGGACTGCAAGCGCTCCAAATGGAGAACAGCCTTTACCAAAGGTGTTTGAAGACGCTCAAACTCAGGACAAAAGGGAGAAACCTGTTAAGACGAAGGCACACTTGGCAAATCCTCACCGAGATCAACTCCCGCCTGGAAACCTATGTCCCCACTGTGGAAGGATGTGTGGATCCAGAAGTGGCCTCCACATTCACTTACGGACTCACTGTGAAGACCGTGTCATGGAAGACAATCTTACTTGTCTACGAGTGATCACCAAAGAAGAAGAAGACATGGTTTTAAATTTAATCAGAAAACCTTTAGGGGTCTAGGGAGATTGACAGGCTTTTTAACCTGTTTGTAACTGTTATATTTGTAACCATTTATATATGAAGCTGTTTTATGCTGAGTCAGATCATTAGTCCATGTAGCTCAGCATTGTTTACACTGACTACCTAGAGACGCCAGGGAGTGAACCTGGGGCTTTCTGTGTGCAAAGCAGATGCTCTACGACAGAGCTATAGCCCTTTGCCAAACTTTTAATACAAAGTACAAAAAGGAGGACAAAAAAAAGAAACTGCTTCCCCTGTCATAATATCCCCACCCCACCCCAAACCAAAATTTGGCTCCTGAAAATTGGATGTTCACTTTTGGACTAGGATGGAGGACTTCTTCTCAGCCCTAATTTCAGGGCTTGCACAGGAGAATTTCCCACTGTATTCTTCCAAAAGGCAGGTAAGAGAGGCCTGGTTCTCACCCCAAGGTACCGGCCGTCATTGAAGATTCGTGGAGGCAAAGGATTCCCACTGGTCGGCCGGCAGTTTTCGGGGATGTTCTCCCGCATCCATTTGCGGTTCTCTTCATTGGCCGCGATGTCCTTCTCCTCATACTCTATCTTGTTGACTTCCAAAAAGCCACACACGTCCTGCTGTTGCTTTTTAATCTGGAACAAAATATATATATAGGAATCAGGTGGGAATAGAAATTTAGTAATAACAGGATCAAATCTCATGGATCAGGGTAAGCCGGGGGGGGGGGGAGGGGAAAGAAAGGTATGTCTTTACAAGACATTCTGAAGCAACTGATGGATGATGTTTCATGTGCAATGGAAGGAAGTGCCTCACAATGCAGGGGCAATGGTAGGAAATGCCCATTTTTGGTTTACTGCCCTGTAATACTCTGTAGCGTTTACCATAAGTAAAATCTCCCCAGGCAATCTAAGTGATTTTGCAAGTCTATACAGAAGGAAAGACAGTCTTTCAGGTAACCTGGTCTCAAGTCGTTCAGGGCTTTATATATTAGTAACAATATATTGAACATGTCCCTGTAACCGATTGTCAGGCAGTAAAGTTCCCTCAGCACAGGTGCAATAATGTACACGACTGGTTGCTACAATCAACATCATGGCCACAAGGTTCTCACCAGCTACACCTTATTGACCAGACTCAAGGGAAGCCCCCCAAAGAAGGCATTACAACAGTCCAATTGTGAAGTTATCAGTGCATGAATCCCAGTGGCCAAGCTATCCCTGTCCAGGAAAGGGCACATTTGGCATACCAAGCTAAGCTGGGGACCAGCAACCAAATTGCTGTTATGGGTGGGACTACAAGGAGGTTCTCTAAGGCCAATCATAATGCACAGGCAGGTTTCTACAAATAAACAAAGTGAACTACTCCTAGCCTACAGCATCTAACCATGGTTACTACCATTTCTCACCCAAATGTAACCTACATTATTTATTCACTCATGACTGGATAATATCCTGGGTTGTTGGCATCCATCTGTCTTCAGAGACAATGGAGGACACACTCCTTTACAGAAAGGGCCAAAAGCTCAGTAGTTGAACATCTACTCTGCATGCAAAATATCCCAGATTCAGCCCCTGGAATCTCCAGGTAGGGACAGGAGAGCGGCTGCCCGTCAGTGTAAACAATGCTGGGCTAGATGGACCAGTGGTCTTACTCAGTATAAAGACAGCTTCCTATGTTGGTATAATGAAACTGTAGGATTCAGACAGCACATCTGTCCATCTCCAGATAACTCCTGTCACTAGAAAATAAGCTTAAAAAGAGGCTGGCTTTAAGCTAATGAGACTACTGTTAAGAAAAGCAGCACTACAAACACTGTGTTACTTCCGATTCAGGCCAGATGCTGGACTCTTCAAGCAGCTTTCCCATATTTGGACAAGTAAAAACACCCAAATCCTCCACTGAGCAGATGTGAGGTCAGAAGACAGGCAGACAAGCTCCAAATATGGTAGCTAAGCTCCTTGGCATGCTGGAGTATAGAGGCTGAAAGGGGAAGCAAGAGGGAGAAATACAAGTTGATTCTCACGTCTGAAGCTTCTGGTAGGATGCTCATTCAGCTACGTACACTGCAGTGACATGAAGGATGAAGGCAGAGGCATGGTCTACACATGCAGCAGAACAGGATGGGGAAATGGACTACACTAATTGAGACTGCAAGTCTGAATGTTGCCTTGGCATTACAGCTCCTTCCTTGCAAATAGAAAACCAGCACAACAGGCAAAGGGCTTGGCTAGAATGACCTCTCTGATATCCTAGTTTTCTCTCTGCTAGGAGGTATTGGTTGATAGGACTACAGCCATTCTTACCACCTCATTCTGCTGCATGTGTAGAGCAAGCCCAACAGACAATATTGTCTAAGCCAACATTCACCAGCCTCCTAACATGCCTGCACACAATTCCTTGTTGCCTATGGCTATCAAGGTGGTGCTATACTGCAAAGCTGCCTTAACTAATCCTCATAGATTTTTTGATTTTTGATTTTTTTGCAGAAAGGAAATACGAATGTACAGGGTCATGCAAGCAAGGGGACATTGCACTGTCAAAGAACAGACATAGAGGAGAAAATTGAAACAGACCTTTAAAGAGAAAACAGAAACAAAAACCACACCTTTTGACAAGGGTCTGTGTGGCTGGCCAGTCACACTGTGGATACTTTCAAAATTAATTCAACAATCCAGAAATGATTCTGCTCTCTGGAATAAGCTTTCCTCAAGCCAAGAACTGCTCTGTGTTTTACAGAAACACTGTGTAGTCAGTACTCTAGCTCACATTAATAAAGCAGCAAGCCAGCGGTACAGAGCCGAAAATTTTCTGAATTGTTTTCCAGTGCTTTCTGTAGCGTAAGCTCATTAGTAACAACAAATAGATGGCAATTACAAATAAAATATTTGGAATGTTGACAATTTCAAAGGTTGGGTTTTTTTTAAGCTTTGCTTACTAAACGCAAGAGTAATAAACATGCTAAAATGAGATCACTCTCTAGAGCACGGGGAAAACCCACACAACAGCCCAGTTCAACTTGCTGTCTGCTTTTTTAAAATGTGTATTTGGCAAAATGTCCTTCCAGTGGGAGTGGGGGAGGGGAGGGCTTTAAGTCTCCTCAAGATCGCTTCTATAGTGCCAGTCAGCTATAGAGCAGGCACAAGACAGAATGATTCTTGAACACTGTCAGACCAACAGCAAGACAGAATGGAAAAAGAAATTTATGTCACACAGTGAACTGGGGAATAGTGGTGGGTAAAGGTAAACGGACCGCTGACCATTAGGCCCAGTCGTGGCTGACTCTGGGGTTGCGGCGCTCATCTCGCTTTACTGGCCGAGAGAGCTTCCGGGTCATGTGGCCAGCATGACTAAGCCACTTCTGGCAAACTAGAGCAGTGCATGGAAACACCGTTTACCTTCATGCCGGAGCGGTACCTATTTATCTACTTGCACTTATCTACTTGCACTAGGTTGACAGGAGCAGGGACCAAGCAACGGGAGCTCACCCCATCGTGGGGATTCAAACCGCCGACCTTCTGATCGGCAAGTCCTAGGCTCTGTGGTTTAACCCACAGTGCCACCCGCGTGCCACAGCGCCAGGTAGGGCAAAAGGCAAGGAGCCCGGCAATAGGGGGAGTCTCCATTCTCCTACCTACTGAGGGTGACACTGAGGATAAGGGGGAATAATAAGCTGGCAACCAGTACTGTCTCTTGGACTGGATATAAGACGGCAGGCTGGCACCCCATCCGCCCTAAAAGGATGTGCTCATAGCTCAGGTAAAAGTCACAGAAGTGTGCAGTAACAAAAGGGTCTGAAAAGCCAGGAAGCACAATTAAGCTATTTTGGGTAGGCCTATCAGCAGCCCTGTTTCCTGAGGAACGCTTAGGAGAGCTGCAGACTGAGAAGCCAGAACAAATAAATTAGCCCCAGCTTTGCCCTCATTTCAGATCAGCAGGTCAGGGTTCAGGATCAAGTGCAGCCAGGTCTCTGCTGGGCCTACTCTACCTAGGGCTAGCTCAACCTGTCCCAGCTACAAGTTATCCTTTGTTCTTCTTGCTTTATATACCTAAATACCACAAACAAACAAAGTATCTTGGCGCTAATCATCACACATCCATAAAAACAACACAAAAGTAATTTAACCTCTGGGCAACGATTCACAAATAGCTGACGGACTGAGCAAGACACATCAGAAGCAGGCATTTGAAACAAAGTGCTGGCTTGATATTGTATTAATTAGGCAACAAATCCGCCAACCAAGGCACAGATGCACTAAACATCATGTTTCTTGCAGGAGCAAGGCACTCTCAATAGTGCCTCTCTGGCTGAAGACAAAGATTGGCTAGGGATACATGGTGCAAGGTAAGCTGGTCCCAGACTGTATTAAGAGGAAGAATTTGACTTTGTAGCCTATAGACAGCTAGTACAGATCCTTTGTGTGTTACTCAAAGGAGAATGTCTTCCTGACCCCAACCATCTCACATCCTGCAGCAAAAGAAAACCCACACTTTGGAAACAAATATATGGGTTCATTACCCAACTGACGGTAAGCCCCCTCACAGAACTACAATTCCCAAGGTTTCCTTGGAGAGGGTTAGTTTTCAATATGAGCAGTACCAAAAGGTGTATTTTTAAAAAACAAAAACAACCAGGAATGACACTCATTGTTTCTGGCATACCACTAAGTTGTACAGGGCACCCTTGGTGCCAGCCCACAGGATCTGTCCATTCAAATTGCCTGAACTGCTGTTGATAAAACTCAGAAGAAGAGAGCCGCTTTTCAGTGGAGCGATAACAAGGGAGAGATGGGCTGCTGCCAAGTCAAATTAATTTATCCACAGGGAACTAAGCCAGTCTGGAGGTCCTAACTGCATGTCGTTTTGACATTCCAGAGAACACCAGGAATGCGCATACCATTCCAATTTGAAAGAGCACCCTGTGAAAGTGCCCAGCTGAGAACAACAGTTGCGCTTTCAGAGTCTAAAATGAACACAAAACCAGCCAAGAAGTTAACCTGCATGCCACAAACAAACAAAGCCAAGAACTTTTATTTCTAAAGGGCACAGCATTTCCTAGCATTACTGTAAACGAAATAAAAGGAAACTCTGTAACAACAGGAATTTGATGTCGCTGCTTGAGTCTAGCTGGGCTTTTCGGCTTTTCACTTTTTGAAAAGGCAACTTTTTTCACTTTCTGGAAAAGTCGGGAACCTTTATCAAGCCAAGGCCCCATTTGTTTCTGGGAAATCTTCTGGGGGGCCACGTGTTTATAGTGTGCAGGGCCAGAGACAGAAGTGGGCAGAGTAACACATGCAAATTTTAGCTTTGCATGGGAGGCTTGGCTTCCTACAGTAGCCTATAAACACTCACAAACCCATCTCTCTCCAGGGAAGCAAGAGGCAGTTCCAGAGTTCAAAGACCCATCCTGCCTGGCAAAGGCACACAAGTAGGATGCAAAGCAGGGCGAGTGAGAGTGTGACCCAGAGAAAGGAGGGGTGGCTGGGGACAAGAGTGACCTGGTAAGAATCCCAAAGGCCAGAAAGAGAGATCTAGAGGGCTGAGCTTTTGGAAAAATTTGCTGGCCCGGGTGCATGCCTGCTCCTCCCTTCCCATCAGCTTGTATATTTGTAAATCAAATGAGATAAACATGGCACAAATCTCCAAAACTTCCTCCTTACAAAGAAACTGATCCTGTAAAAATGATGTGGGGCACACAAACAAATCCCCCAGAAGACTAGATATGTTAGCCTATTGAACCAAAAAAAGATCAACCAAGGTATTCCAAGCCTACAAAGTCATTCAGCTGAGACAGTTGCCTCCTTTTGTCCTCAATGAAACATAAAGGGCTTGGGTTCAGACATAGCTTGTGGAGGACATGAATATACCCAATTTGCCCTTAGGGATTTTTTGGTAAAGCAACCAACCCTTCAGCTAGAGCTGTTGGAAGAGACGGCTCAAACAAGGTAAATGCATAACCTGATGGTTATAGACAAGTCATTGTTTAGCTATACAGTGGTACCTCGAGTTACAGACACTTCAGGTCACAGGCTCCGCTAACCCAGAAATAGTACCTCGGGTTAAGAACTTTGCTTCAGGATGAGAACAGAAATCGCGCCACAGCAGCGGGAGGCCCCATTAGCTAAAGTGGTACCTCAGGTTAAGAACAGTTTCAGGTTAAGAAAAGACCTCCAGAACGAATTAAGTTCTTAACCCAAGGTACCACTGTAGTGTGAACAAGATCATAAAGCAAGGGCTGGTGAAACTGAGCCCCTCTGAATGTTGCTTAACTAGAATTCCCAACATCCCCTGTTACTGGTTATGCTGACTAGGGATTGTGGCAGTTGGAGTCCAACACTATTGGGGGGGGTGTCAAAGGCTCCCCACTCCTGCCTGAAAGACTACCAGGTTTACTGCTGCAGAAACTTTTGTTAGCTACAGACTACTTCACCAGTTGCATATTGTGATGCATTAGTAAACAAGCTCATCTCACAAGAAGTTTGGCAACCTTTAAGTGCCAAACGGTGCCACAAGATTTAGAGTATTTAGATTTAGAGTTTCCTGAAGGCTACATAAACATAACACCCTGGAATTTTACAGCTCACTCTTCTTCCTTAAAAAGAACATTAATAAATATAAGCTGGTTTTTACCTCTGCCACTGCCATTTCCAGATACTCAGGTTGCACAAACCTTCACAACATTCCACTGAGAGAAGCAAGAGGTAAACTTGCAATAAATCAAGAGACAGCACTCATTGCTGGAAGCAAAATGCCATCTTGGCTTTGACTTTTTTCACTTTCTATTTCAGCAGCAAACCAGAGTCAGAACTGATTCAAAAGCAGAACAAAGGTGCTCTTCAATTATCAACCCTACAGATTAACCTCCTCACCAAATCTATCAATCATTTAATGCTTTAGTTTATTAATCTGCCAAAGAAAACTATTTAAAAGCTTGTGGCCAAGTTTTCTCTCTCTTGAATGTGTAGAAGGAAAGACATAGAGCCAGTTCACACCTAAAGCTAAACCAAACTATGTCTTCAGGAGAATGCACAAACAAGTATCGTAGGTTCCTCAAGAGGAGATCATGGTCACTGTGCTCCTCCCCCAATCCTCCCGCTGCTGCCATGATTTGGTTTAGCCTGTCATCTGAACTTGGGTTTATGGTTTGTCTTGCTCCACTGGCAGCAGCAACAGGGCTGAAGAGAAGCAAAGAGATGTCAATCTCTGTCCCAGGAGCCAGTGCTTTTGGGCTAAATCACAGCTTGGCTTAAGGCTCCATTTGAACCAACTTACTATGGTTTGGAGCTGTGGAATAGCCTGTGAGAAGGAGCACACGTTGTTTGGAAAACAACAGCAGGCAAGAATTTCTAAACTGTGGTTTGTGTTGTACATTTGGAAGCTGAAACTACAGTCTGGGTTCTAAGTTATGATTATTGCAATCCATGGTTTAGTGTTATGTCTAAATTGACACAATGCCACTCAGTGGTGCAGAGGCAGGTAGGGATGAGGTTCTGTCAATTATTTAACAACAGGGCAACAAGGCCAGATCCTGGGGTGCTATTTGCTAATCTTCTGCATGCCAAATAAATAAGCTTTATTCTGAGAGAAACCCATCAAGGAGGCTAGGCAGAAAAAGAGGTAGATTGGCATGGCATGCATGGATAAAAGGGAGGGCATGGAGAAGGATTTCCAAAGTCCCAAGCAAAATGACACAAAACAGTGAACAAGCTTTTGAGTCCACCAGTAGTCTTCATTAGGCTAGATGTTAAGCAAAGCAGGATTTGAGCGGAAAATGCTCAAAATGTGCAAAAAAACTCTAGCTTGGTGTTCAAGCCATAGTATGCACTGGCCAAACAAAATTCATGAAGGGGCGTGGCTATGGTTGTCACAGAGTGCCAGCATTTACTACCACACCACTGATGTCACCACTTTAAGAAAACGGCCATGTGGACCTCACTCCTCAGTCTCCCAAAGACTTCTAGCAATCCTGCTAATAGGGTGCTGAGTACCCTCAGCTGGTGCTGACATCTCTTCAGACCATAGGGCATTCAAGCACCATCAGGGCATTTGCAGCAAAGAGCTCCAAGCGCTTTCCCTGTTGCTCTGCATTGCATGAGGTCTGATAAAACATGACTATTTTTAGAAGTGGGTAATTACTGCTGAACTCTTGCTGCTTCTGCTGTCTCAGGCACTGGGGCTTTTTTGAGCCAAGAATCACACATGAAGTCATGTCACCTGCAAAAGCTTGTGCAGCTGGCGACAAAACATTCTGGGCAACTGGTGGACAATCAAAAAAGCACATGCATACAGTATATGTGTTCGATGGTGGCTTTGAAAATGCATATGCAATGCACCAAAATGTTCAGGTAGGAGTTGTGGTGAGAGAATAAGAAAATACAAAAAAAAAAAACACCTCAAAAAATTAACTAGAAAAGATGTAATGGTTTCAGATGATGAACTTTTTTGAGTGAAAACTAAACACACCTCACCATGTGTGAATTGCTAAGACTGGATACATTTAGGACTGATGATGCAAGCAGTGGACTAGCTTCAAGGTCACCAAGCCATTTCCTTCATGTGTGTGCCTTGAAGGCACATACAGGTAATATCACAAATGGTAATGGCACATTTAAGCTACATGAGAATCAGCCTCTGTAAAGTTCTCATCCCACCATAGATAGGATAGTACAGAACCGGGAGCTGGGACCTTCTGTAACAACGCCACTGCTAAGCCACAGTGCTTCCCTCAGACCCAGACGCTTGGAGAACTTCATCCAAAAAAGAGGCTTTGGATATGCAGGAAAACCCAGTACACTTGAAGAACCATGTTAAGCAGCCCAGCTCGCCCAGACATTTCACCTTGGGCGTTGGACAAGCCTGTACATTGCTTCAAAGGATCCAGAATCTTTGCCTTCACTCTCCCTCTCCTCATGAGCTAAGCCAGAGGAGGGTCCAGTGGGAGAACTGGTGGAAGAGTATCTACCAGGCTGCAAAAAGGCCAGAGGTCTAATCAAGGGGAGATGGTATCAGGTGCATCATGCAGTCACCAGGTGATGGAACAGGCTCTTCTTGCATAAAACTACTTGGGGTGCTTCCAGACAGAGATTTATTGCAGAATCAGTGTTACTTTGGCACAGAAGTTTTTTTGCACTGTCCACATGACATACGGTAATTCTCAACAAAATGCCAGTGCGTGGCATTTAAACATAATAATAATAATAATATGGGTTTCTGTTTTATCACAGAGAATCCGTCAATAAAAAAAAAATGTCTTCTACATCTGCAGTCACTGCTGGCGTGGAAGTTTGCTAGTGCATTTGGGGGAGAGGGCAGAGTCTCTGTCTTATCTGTTGTGGCATTTCGTGGGCAGTCTCTGTCACTTTGCTCCTCACCTGAGCATTTGCTCCTCACCCAGCTATTTTGTTTTTGGCGATTTAAATGATACGGACATACCTATTTCCACATGCTGAGGCATGCTGGAATTTCAGCAGGCCAGTTTGGAGGAGCTATTCTCTGAAGAGCTAAATACATGTGGGAAATTTCCATGGAGACAGCGGGTGGCATTCAACTAGGAACAGAGTCACAAAATTAATGAACTACCTTAATCATGTTCATTAGTTTTAATAGGTCTACTTCCTATAAATCACAGCATATACATTGGTTCCCTGGGAAGAGAAGATTGCTTGTTAAAGCACCCTGGTAACTGTGGCTCTATCAGGGGAATTGGGGGTGGGTTGCCTTCTAACAACTCTCAACACCCTTAACAAACTACCAAGAGCCTTCTTGGTGGGTGCTCCCGAACTTTGAACTCCCTCCCTAATGAAGCTAGACTGACTCCCTCCTTGTTGTTCTTCCGCCAGCAGGTGAAGATTTTCTTGTTCCAACAGGCTTTTAGGAACTGACTGCTTTGAATTAAAGCACTGCTGCTGTGCTGGTTTTATTGTACAGGCAGTGACCATTTCACACAAGGGTTCCGTTCCTGGCCCCCATGCATATATAAGCATCCCCCATCCCGGTCCACCCCTCCCCACACTGCTCTGCCTTCTTCTGGGTCCAAAAGGACCCACATGGCGGCAATAGCACGTCACAATTTGACAAGCCTAAAACGGTCTCCACCTGTACTTACTGACATGTTTTAAACAAATTTTATATATGAATATAGTTTTAATTCTATCAATATTTAATTGTAATTTAATGATTGGTTTTTCTATGTTTTTAAAGATTCTTGCTTTTATCAGTAAGCCGCCTTGAGTCACATCAGGAAAAAGGCAGGGTATAAATTAACAGCAGCAGCAGCAGCAGCAGCAAGAAAAATACAGTTCCAAGGATTCTTTGGGTGGAGCTATGACTGTTTAAAGAAGTATCACAGTGCTTTTGTATTGTATTGTATTCAGATGATCAAATTACAAATATAATAAGGATTAGGGAACGCAGGCAGCAAGATGATAGATTTAGAGAAAAGTGGAACATATTTCATATCAACTGGAATGAAAGGATACAGGAAGGAGACAATAGATCCATATAAGCTATTGGGGAAGATAAAGACTTAAATATATCCAAGATCAAGTTGTCTACAAAATGTGCTTGGTTTGAGTAATTTCTTTTTAGTGCTGTGATTAGATTACAAATTAAATTGGAATGAATGAGCAGCTTGCATTGAATAATGCTGAATTTCTCTGAACAGTGTGTATTTAATATTTATAAAACATTTGTTTATCTGCAGATAGATGCATTCAGGCTTCAGTTTTGTATTCAATAATTATACTACTAAAATGTGTATATTTTAATTTTATTCTTAAGGAAAGCAAAGAACCTTTCACGTCAGGGAAACATATATTTTTGTGTTTTAAAAAACACAAGCAAAAATATACACTACCTAACGTCAAAGAGTTAATTTGGTATGATACGAACACAACCTCTTATTGTCTTAGAAAAAGAAAAGTGTGGGGGAAGAACAGCAGAGTTGTGTTCTGATGCAAAAACCTAGAAGATCACATTGCTTCCGATAGCTTGACAAGAAAGTAAACTAAAAGCAGCTGGTTTTTCTCCAGGGAGACAGAGATTGTCAGATGGGCCTCTTATTTGACACCGTTTCAAGCTGCGTATGTATTTAACATGAAGCCAGTATTCCTTCGGGTAGGTGGGAGCCAACACAAGCTCTGCAAAATTAAACTGAGCATTTGTGCTGTCCAGATTTTATCCTAGCAAGCTTACTTAGTGCATGTAGTACAATAGACAGTGGAAAGGGCAAAATGGGAGGAATAATAATAATAATAATACTAATAATAATAATAAATGAACAAGGAGAGCAGAATTAGGAGTTATTTTGAAGACTTCTGCAAGGTATTCAAAGGAATGGTGAAGGGTAGCTTTATTAATGTAAGTGAAAGTTGCACTTTAGACAGGTATACTTAAAACTAATAATCTGCGGCAATAGTCACAGTATGAAAGCTTGCTTGTGGGAATGTTTGTATGTTTTTAAAAAGCACTTCAAATGATCATTCATTATACAACACAGCATAATGCACAAAGTCCTTTATAAAAGTTGATGTACAAGAACAAAATATTTCCTGATCAAATTAGATGTATTAACTGCCTCCAAACATATATTGTCCAAATATTCCAAAGTTTGTTAAACTGTTCAGAAAGTCCTATGCATGTTCTTCAGCCTCAAGAAAGGACTAGTTTCACAAAAGAAACCAGCAGTCTACTGCACATTTTTTAAGAATTGCAAAAGCATTTTCAAAGTCTATTTGTCTTAGCAACAACCCTGTAAGGTAGATCACTGTTCCGATTTTTTTGTTTTTGTTTTTACTAAAGATAATCAAAATGGACAGGCAACAATTTGTCCAAGACCACCCAGCATAAGGCAAAAAACAAAAACCACAACAACCCCAAAACCCACACAGCTAAAAAAGTCCCGAATCCATGATTACTCTACCTGCTAAGTTGGGGGGGGGGGGGGAGAGCAACTTACTCTCTCACAATACCTACTTTTAAATGAAATTTAACTTACAGGTCCTGTGCTGCTGATGTCTGGTGTCATCTTCCTGGCAAAATTCACCTAGTTCAGAATTCTATTTCTAAGGCATCCAGATAATTGCTTCTAGAATCTCACAAATAAGTCATCAACCAAACTGCCATCCTCAATTGCCCTCAGGCTCTCCTATCCAGAGGTTTACACAGAACAGCCTTCTGCAACCTGGTGCCCTCTAGATGTTAATGCAATAATGTAACATCCTTGTGGGCTCAGACTGGAGGCTCAGGTACTCTGGCATCACTGGTGGCCAAGCAGAGGCCTGTGGGAAATTAACGAGGAGGACCTCAGTGCAACAACACTTTTCCCCACTTGTAATTCTCAGCAACTGGTCTACAGAGGCATACCACCTCTGATACTGGAGCTAATATATAGAGGTCATGACTAGTAGTCACTGATAATCCTTGTCCTCCATCAGGCATCCCCAAACTCTGCCCGCCAGCTGTTTTGGGACTACAACTCCCATCATCCCTAGCTAACAATGGTCAGGGATGATGGGAATTGTAGTCCCAAAACAGCTGGAGGGCAGAGTTTGGGGATGCCTGTCCTCCATGAATATACTCCTTTTAAAGCCATTCAAGTCGGTGGCCCTTGCCAACATGGGCCTGTGGTAGAAAATTCCACCACGTAACCCAGACAAATACATTCTTCTGTCCGTCCTGACTCTCCCAACATTCAACTTTATTAGATGACTCTAGTTGTGAGAGGGGCAAGAAAAACTTCTCTATCCACTTTCTCCAAACCATGCATAATTCTTTATTCTGTGTTTGTTTTAGTTGCTCTTGTCTGGACCTTATCCAGCTGCACAATATGCTTTCTGAGATGAAGCAAACCCAAACTGTACACAGTATTCCAAGCGTGTCCAACATTTGTTTAACAACGTTGTGATACTGGCAGTTTTATTATCAATCCGTTTCCTAATTATTCCTTACCTGGGCTTCACCTTTTTCGCAGCTGCCACACACTGGGTCACAATTTTCATCAAGCTAACTATGAATCCAAGATCTTATTCCTAGTCACTCACCACCAGTTCAGACTCCATAGGCGTATACGTGGATTTTATTTTCTGCAATAGTATGTGTCACTTTGCACTTGCTTGAATTGAATAACATTTGCTAATTTAATTACCATTCATGCACTTTGAAAAGATTATTTCAGAGCTCTTTGCAAGGCCCTTCTGTTCTTACCTCCAGTACAACTGAGTGTCATCAGTAAACTTGGCTGCCAAGCAGCTCAACCCAAACTAATTTATGAACAACTTAAAAAGCACTGGTCCCAATATGAATCCTTGAGGGACCTCACTTCTTAAAAGCCTCCACTGTGAGAACTGCCCATTGATCCCTGCTCTCTACTTTTTCTTAAACAAGTTAGTGGTTAAAATTACTGATGTATAAGATGACCTGTTCTTCCCCACCAACCCACTCAATGACTGCTAAGCTTATCAGGAGTCTTTCAGGGTGGTGATTAATCAACAGCTTTTTCAAAGTTTAAATACACAGTGTTGACTGGATCACCTCTACTTATAGGCTTGTCAACACTCTCAAAAGAAGTGTTCAGTGTTTCTCAAGCTTGAGTCTCTTGAGTCTCCAGCTACTGTTATGACTACAATTCCCACCATCCCTGACCACTGGTCCAGCTAGCAACGGATGATGGAAGGTTATACCTGTACTCCAACAAAAGCTGGGAACCCAAGTTTGAGAAACACTCGTTAGTTAGACAGACTCGTTAGTTAGACTAGCCTTACAGCTGGAGCAGATTTAGGGTTGTACACTGATCCAAGGGGATGCCATCTCAAAGCAGAGTGAGCTAGGTGCTGGGCTATGGGTAGGAGGTGTGAGGCTCTGACAGGGTCCTAGGGTCCTTCCGCCTCTGTTCCAAAGCCTAGCTAGCACTTTCCCAGCTTGGGGAAGGAGATGGGAGGGTTCTAGGTCCCTGCCAGAGTCTTTGTGCCTCTTTCACGAAGCCAGGTACCTCCTTACCCACCTTTGGGAAAGTAGCGCAAAGACTGGGGTGGGGTGGAAGAATGCCCAATTTTGCACCATAGTACCCAAGTCTGCCACTGCTTGCAGAAGCCATGCTGGTTCCTCTCTATGTGCTATAATTCTACCTTCAATAATGCTTTCTATCTGGTTAGGTGGGGCCAAGTGCCCTGCTTGGTCATCTTACCCATTTCCACCCACCCCCCCCCAATTTCAAGCTGAATTGCTAACTTTATGCCTGACTTTGAAATCAGAAGATCTAGAAAACCTGATTTTTTTAATTTATTTTTTGTGGCTGTGCCTTTTGAGTTTGCATGTTGCCGCTGCAGAACCCAGCATCAGACAAGCCATTGTTCTTCTCCTTAAAACATATGCTTGGAAAAAAGCACTTTAAAAAAGAAGAAGAAATAAAACAAGCATACGCTTCGGTCAAAACAACTAACTTCCGTCTGCAATGCAATGTGGCAAACTGTTATCAGGTTTCAAAAGGATGTCTTCCAGCGACCTCCTGCTTCTTTTTAAAGCACTGAGCACCTCCCAAATCATCATAGCCATAACCCCAATTACTGCTTTTCAATGTGAAAAGAGTCTGCCCTTTGGCAGTCTCTGAAATTCAGCCAAACCATGTTTGACTTTTACATGCTTGGAAATGGCTTTTTGCCTAGTCCAAAATAAACACCACATAAAACCTCAACAATTGCTGGAGGGCATTCGCTGAACATGATGGGTTATCCATCCACTACTTTAAAAGTTCAGCAAAGGAATATGTACACAGCTATAAGTTTGCCTTCACATTGTCTACTACATCCCCATTGTGTTCTGGGGATTCTGGCTTGGCCCAGGCCATTTGGTTATCACATTTTTTAAAAGTCACGGCATCCACCTAGAGCAGGGGTTGGCAAGGTTTACCTCGCCTGGGCCGGTTCACTCCAGTGGAGATCTCTCCGTGGGCCAGATTGCACATGCGATTTCTGGCACCGCGGAAGTGAGTCCCCACGCTGCGCTGGTTCAGCGCAGCAGGTGGGGACTTGCCGAGCGGGCGACTCGGTTTGGGGGCAGCTTGTGGGCTGGTTAAATGACCCCCATGGGCTGCTTGTGGCCCATGGGCCTTACGTTGCCACCACTGATCTAGAGCCTTAACATTTAAAAATGAAGGTCTGAGCTGTCCTGAAGGAGCAGCTGGTAGTGCAGAACTTAGACTGCTGGGGACCTAGGTGTAACTCTCACACAAGGCAACTTATGGAAAGTGTGGTCAGACTATGAACCCTTGATTTAACCTTTCCCCTCTAGGCAGGCCTGTGGAACTTGTGGCACTCCAGATGTTGCTAGGGGACAACTCCCATCAACTGCAATCATTCGCCACCCTAGCTGATGCTGATAGGAACTTAAATCCAACAACATCTGGAGGGCCACAGGTTTCCACATTTGTAGCCTACTTGCTACTGGGATTTTCCAGTGAACCAGGGGAACTTTAGAATGAGGGCTGGGTGTATATGCAATGGGAGAGACGGTTATCATGTAGTAAAAATTCCTTGAGGGTTGTATATTTTTTTTAAGAGTCCCAGAACCTGATAAGACAATTGAAATTAAAAGAGAGTTTCTTAATAGTTCTGTGGAAGCACATATATCCATTTCCACACTGTCCTGAGTAGTGTTGTACAACTGTTGTTACTCAGAAATCAAGATCTCGCAACAACAGATATAGTAAATGGCATTTTAAGGGATCTAAAAGCTGGGATTTTAACTCAGCTGTTTGCTTAGGTCTGCCAGGAAACTTGTCAGAGACATTAAAATAACTATGTTTCCCCAAAGGCTGGTTGCTGTGCATTTCTGTACTGTCACTGGAACAATGAATGCCTTTCAGAAAAAAAATATACTGACCTAACCCACATTTATAGATATTGTTCAGGCACAGCTGTATCTCAGTAATAGGTAGTAATGCTACCCAGTATTACCAAAATCTCATGATCAGCCCACCTTTCCTGAGCTTTCTTTAAGAAAATGTTTAAGGCAGATTTAAACAATGCATGTACATTTTCATTAAATGGTAGCTCTTGAAGCTTAAATGATAGCACCCAAATTAGCACCCAAATTCAAACTAAACAGCAGCAGCAGAATGGAAGAAATAAGCAGCAATGTTTATTTCAAGAACCTCTAATATCTAACCACAACATCAGAGGTGGAGATCTAAAAAGTCTCACATTTACAACACAGTGATATCACTATAATGGTTACAGCTTCCCCCAAAGAATCCAGGGAAATGTAGTTTTGTAAGGGTGCCTAGAGTTGTTAGAAGTCTCTTATTCCCCTCACAGAGCTGCCATTTCCAGAGTTGCAGGCAAAGAGGGACTAAATGTTTAAAAGGTATTGCAGTGCTTTAAATGTATGGTGCAGATGTGGCCCAAGTTTCAGAACCAAAAGGTCCTTAACCCTTGTCATGAAAGGATTTCAGAACCAAAACACAACAGAAGATGCTTGTCTGTACTGTATTTGCAGATCTAGGGTGAATGCAGCTGTGGCCCGCCATGGTTCAGCTCTGCGCAGACCTCAAACATGATGTGGAGCAAGATCTGCCCAGAAGACTCTGCCAATAACTCTGAAACCATGGGATCTGGGTTTTCCTACCCCAGGAATGGAGGTCCCCACACCATCTACCTGGGCTTCCAGCCGACTCTTGTACTGCCCCCTCAGAATACAAACACATTCTAGCTGACAAAAACACTCAGGGTGCAAATTAGGGCCAGTGAGTGGTGTGGTCTGGGGACAGTCCCAAGGGCCAGACAAAGACGCCTGGAAGGCCAAATCTGGCTCCCGGACAAGAGATTCCCCATCCCAGTCCTAGGGCCATAGCAGGAGCAGAGAAGACAATGAGCCAGGCAGATCAAGGGCTGATTGAGCCAGCAAGGGGCACCAGCCTTCTGGACCTTATGAAACAGACATCACCCTTCACACCAAGCCTTGAGCCAGGACTCGGCCATTCTGCAAGGTTCCCAGCATCTGCTGCTTTACTTTCCCTAGCACAATACTGCTATGCGCCACCTCAATCTCCAAGCGGTGCAAGATTCCAAGGTTTGCAGGTGTGCCTTAACCCAGAGTCTGTGTTCACTTTTGGACAAGGGGACACAGTCTTTATGGTGTCTTTATGATATATGGTTTGTTTACACACATTTACAACCATAGCCTCCTGTGGGAGGGTGGTTCCAAGCATCTTGTCCCAGGCAGCGCCAGCTTTCCAAAGGCAGCAGCATCCCTGCCTTGCAGCTTGCTTCCCCAATCCCAGCCCAAGAAAAGCTACATCTCACCTGTTCTCACCTTGCTATACTAAGCCCTGGTTTTAGGAGAGAGGCCCTGCTCATCTGTATTCTCACACCTAGTTATTTGATGCCTTGTTGTGCTCAGTCCCCCCAGGCTCTCACCTCAAAGGAAATTAGGCTGACTCCATTACCTTTGAACCCATGTTGATTTCAAAGAATTAAGGATCTCTGTCCAGCACACAGGGTCTGACTTAATTAGCCATCACACATGCTAATAAAAGGATTAGCAGGAACTATCACACAGTTTAAACAAATCTATGACAAAACAATAGCTTCATTGTTTAGCCATTGTTAACATTGCCCTGCTTGCCATCAACGAAGTTATTTACCAAGTGGGAATTTACCTTGGTATGCCTGGAACTACCTGGAACAACTATTTCTGTCTCTTTATCTCTCTGCTTCACCCACCCCAGTTTGGTCATTTGCATTATCCTGCTAATGACCAGAAATATATATACAGTATACGTATCAAGTGAAGTAGGGGAGGTACCTTAGAGCTGTTCCTATCGTTGGGCAGAGTGAGGAAGCCAGTGCAGCTGGTGGTTTTGAGTACCATGAAAGGGCAAGAAAAGGTTACTGATTTAATTTTTTTACTTGCAGTGAGAGGTACCTGTGGGATTTCTCAGGTTCAAATTCCCACTCAGCCACAAAGCTCACTAGCTGGCTTTGGGTCAGCTGCTATTACTTGGCTCAAGCTACCTTGCAGGGTTGTTGCAATGGTAAAAAAATATTTGGGGAAAAGGGGTTGTATTTGCTGCTTTGAATTCCTTAATTGAAAAGGTGGGGTGCACAGAAATAAATAACTTGACCAGTCCTGAGTACTGTGACCCTTGATCAGGGGCGGGGGAAGGGGAGGTTGCTTCTCCAGAAAGGAAATGTCTCTTTATCATCCTTAATCTTCCCTGGAAACACAATGTGGTGCACAGCCTCACCTGCTGCGCATGGGAGACAGAACTCTGAATGTTGTGGCATTAGCCCTTAAGCCTGAGTGAGTTTGTCAAATGAGATTTAGTACCAGACTGATCACATTATATTGCCCCTCTGCATCTCAGGAACAATAAAGATTATGGGTTTAAGTCTGTAAATATTTATTGGTGTGTGTTTTAAAATGGCTCTTCTGGACCCTAATAACCTGTGGGAACTTTATAAGGAGACTGTACCCTGCAGGATTAAGCCATGCCTTGAAAAGGACTGAGGAAACATGGGAGACCACACCCAACAGAAGGAAGGGGAAGAAACAGAAATCATACTTAAAAGGTGTGACTGGCAGATTGCCTCCCAGAAGGAAAACTGGAATCTGTGCCAAATGCCTTAGCTAATCATTTGTTAGGGTTTTTATTTTGTGTTAAGTCATTGTTCTGCTGGGTCATTTCACTGGGCAAAACATTCATCCAGTCAGAATATCAGGACTACTTCCAGAGAATATTTTTAAAGTACAGTGGTACCTCGGGTTACAGACGCTTCAGGTTACAGATGCTTCAGGTTACTGACGCTTCAGGTTACAGACGCTTCAGGTTACAGACTCTGCTAACCCAGAAACAGTACCTCGGGTTAAGAACCTTGCTTCAGGATGAGAACAGAAATCGTGCTCCGGCGGCGTGGCGGCAGCGAGAGGCCCCATTAGCTAAAGTGGTGCTTCAGGTTAAGAACAGTTTCAGGTTAAGAACGGACCTCCAGAACAAATTAAGTTCTTAACCCGAGGTACCACTGTATGGGTGCAGGGGGAGAGATCACCACCAATAGTAAAAACCATGTTCAAAGGAGCAGAAACCACACTAGAGGCTGCTAACTGAGGGGAAATGTTGCTGCTGGTACTTCTGTGAAACCCTGAAAGGTCTATATCCCCTCTAAATCCACAGGGCACAAGAATCAGTGCTTTGTACTGCCTCAGCCTCTCGTACATTGAACACATCTCCTTAAAAATGCCCACGTGCCACTTGGTGCCAAGACTGAGTGCCTACCCTCCCTATCCAGAGCAGAGGTGCAAAGAACTTCGCTCTGTGAGTGACTGCACTGGTGATCTTTTATCCCTATTGATGGGACAGCTGTATCATGGCTGCACCATTTTGTGCTTGGATTTCCCCACTATTTTAGATGCAGCAATCATTTTGCATTATGCCAAAATCCAATAGCGGCGATTTCTTTGTTTTGTCACACCCCTACAGTGCTCAATGCCGCCACCACCACCCTTCCCATGACAGTCATTATGTGACTGCTGTCCACGGAATGTTCTCAAATTTCCAAATGTGTCCATAGGCACAAAAAGGTTGGTGATGCCTGAACTAGACAATAACAACCCCCACCCCCCAAAATGTGCTCATTTATCCTCAATTGCTTCACATTTGTTTATTTGGTTTGTACCATGCCTCGCTGTTCAGAAAAAGTATTCTTTGCATGTTGTCCAGTCGTTAGAGGTGGCATTTTGTTTGTACTGAAAGACTAATGTTCGTCATTACAAACAAACATCAGCAGCTGCATGCAGTTGACTAGAGGCACCTGGCTTTGTAGTATGCAATGGGACTCACATATGAAAAGTTGCCCAGGCTATAGATTCCTATATAAAGGTAAAAGGACCCCTGACCGTTAGGTCCAGTTGTGGGTGACTCTGGGGTTGCGGCACTCATCTCGCTTTACTGGCCGAGGGAGCCGGTGTACAGCTTCCGGGTCATGTGGCCAGCATGACTAAGCTGCTTCTGGCAAACCATAGCAGTGCACAGATATATACCCTACGTCATATCCTTTATGATTATTACAAATAAGCACCACCAATTGTCCATGGCAAAGTCCATGCACATGGATGCTAGCACACACTTGCTATAGCACTCAAAGCCACTGTCAGTGTCTTGAGCTGTTAAAAGTAATCTCTGCTGTGGGATCCCTTTTGTTGTGCGCAGTCTCCCCCCCTGAGGAGGGGGTGACATAATAGCCTATATAAAAGCCTAAACTGCATGACCTATATATGAAGTGCATTATCAGCAGGCTGCATAAGAGGAAAGGTTTTTTTAAAAAAAACATCAACAAAAACATATGCTGTTCCCATGCTCTTGTTATACCATAAACTCTATTCAAGTGGTCCGATCTCGCTTATTCAAAATGTGTACAAGTTTTCCTTCCAAATTCGAAAGAGAATTGGGTCCCGGGGCCCATAAAGTTTGATATTTATGGAACCAACCCCTCCATTAAAGTCCTTTGACGAGCACACAGAGTCTTTGCTCTCATTTCTTGATGGGTTTTAGACAAAGAAAGCAAAAGCAGGAATCCATCCAAATTTGCACTTTGTGTTGGGAGAGATCTCAGAAGCAATGACAGAGATTCACGCAACTTATCGAATTTCCAGTATTAACTAGGCAAAAAGAGCCTCTCCACTCCAGAGACCTCTGCAGTGTGGGAAACTTTGACCTTCCAGATGTTGCTAAACTACAACTGCCATCCCCTAGCAAGCATGACTAATGGTCAGGGATGATGGAAGTTGCAGTTTAGCAACATCTGGAAGGTCAAAGTTTCCCACACTGGCCACAGGCCACTGCAAATATAATACAATGTCTTATTAACACAGACATACACGCAACATGAATATACACGCTGTTTAAAATGCAATCAAAATTAAACTAAACATTGAAACTTCCTGGGGTTACTCTTACATTTAGCTTGTTCAATTAACAAGTATTTGTTCAATTAACAAGTATTACAAACCACTGACATTGGGTTCAGAATCAGCTCAATTCTCCCAATTTGCAGAAATGGCAAAATCAACAAATTCCTCTGTACTGTACTTTGCACAGAACTCAGAGGAAAACTTTACATTAGCGATCTGGGGCAGGAGCAGTCACCATGGGGAACTGAATTTATGAGGCTTTCCATAAGGAAAGACCCTGATCTTAGGCTGCCACCTAAGATCCAAATTTGACTGATTCACCAAGCATTTCCAAATGGCAATGGAGGGAGCCATTTTCTTTGGATTTGTTTTTCAATGAGTTTTATTATTGGTGTTATCCACATGCAACCACAAACATGGTTGGTGTTGTAGACCAGGAATGAGGAACCTGTGGCCCTGAAGATACTTCTGGATTACAACACTCATCTAGGGATGGGAGAATCTGACAACTCTGTTTCTCTTCCATTTCTTGTTTTCCCATTCTTAAGTTCAGTTCTCTGCATTTCTACATCAATTATTAAAAAAAAAAAGTTCTCATGAAAAGTTCTCATTTTAGTATAAATTTCTCCCAATATACACGTTTTTGCAATCACATTTCCTTAATGCAACACAATTTTCACCAATTCACCAATATAGGCATGCTTATGCACTTTACCACAGTATATGCACTTTTTAATGCATTACTTGGCTGGAGAACTGCATTGCAAAACTCAAAAAGTTTTGCAAAGTTTCAAATATTGCTTTGATCACGTCCACACCATACATTTTAAGACATTCTTGCAGCAAGATGTTTAGTGTGAATTTTCCCTAACAAAACTAATCTCTGCTATGATTTTTGAGATCAAGTGTTAGCAACAATTGCCACCATAAGAAAAATACCTACACCGTAAGCTCCTTCTTGCTAAAAGCAACATTTTAGCAATGTCACTTATAGCCATGCACAGGGCCAGCAAACCCGCGAGGCAAAGTGAGGCGACCTGACTCAAGAGGCACAAGTGCAGCAGATCCTGATGTAGATCTATATTCAGGGCCGGCCCACCCATGAGACAAGGTGAGGCAACTGACTCAGGCGGCAGGATTCACCAGGCAGCATATCCTGATGTCAAAATCCCACCCCCTTGTTCCTGATGTAGATCTTCCCTCACTTCTTTTTCCATGGCGAGGAGAGAGGTGCCATTTTGTGGTTCACCTCAGGTGCCAAAATGTCTTAGGCCAGTCCTGTGTCAACCATATGTCAATAGGAAGACCACAAACAGGATCTGAGTACAAAATCACTCTGCCATGGGAGCATATTCACCCAGTGCTTTTCCAGATGCACTGGCTCCCGGTGGAGTACAGGGTCAGATTTAAGGTGCTGGTTTTGACCTTTAAAGCCCTTCACGGCCTAGGACCCTCGTACCTACGGGATTGCCTCTCCCGGTATGCCCCACGGAGAGCCTCATGGTCCATAAATAGCAACACCCTAGTGGTCCCTGGCCCTAAGTAAGTTAGATTGGCTTCAACCAGAGCCAGGGCCTTTTCAACTCTGGCTCCGGCCTGGTGGAACGCTCTGTCTCATGAGACCAGGGCCCTGCAGGATCTGATTTCTTTCTGCAGGGCCTGTAAGACAGAGTTGTTCCGCCTGGCCTTTGGCTTGGAGCCAATTTGATTCCCTCCCTCTCTTTCTTTTTTCTTTTACCTTTCTACTCCTGTGATGAAGCTGCATTTTAACATTTTCATGTTTCAATATTTTAATTGTTGTATTTTAATCTTGTTTTTAAGTTGTATTCATTCAACTTGTTTTTATTATTGCTTGTTAGCCGCCCTGAGCCCGGCCTTGGCTGGGGAGGGCGGGCTATAAATAAAAATTATTATTATTATTATTATTATTAAATCATTCCCCCCACTGGCATTTCACAGCAGCTGGTATTCAGAGTCATCATAGCTACTAGCCACTGACAACCTTATCTTCTTACGAATTTGTCTAATCCTCTTTCAAATCCATCCATCTTGGTGGCCATCCCTACATCATGTGGGAGCAAATCCCACAGTTAAACTGGGTGCTGTGAGATGTAGTTTCTTTTGCTTGTCCTGAATTTTCCAACATCCAGCTTCACTTTATGTCTCCATGTATTATTAAGCAGGTGGCAAAGTTCACAAACTGGAACACCGACTTCTGGGTTTGCAGCGTTTTATTTCCAAGTTGTTTAATAAACTAAGCTGTTCTAAAACCAAGGTACCACTGTACTCGGTTTTCCCCGTTAACTAAAAAGCACCAAATCTTGTAACATCCCTACATTTACCTTTCTGCACCTTTTCCAATATAGGCACCAAATGGTTCCTTAACAGTTGCCAAAATGGAATGTCTAGTTGACATTTTGGAGTAAGACAGCTCTGAAGTCTTATTTTTCAAACAATGAACTAACTGCTATTGATTATCAGTTAAACATCTGGCTAGTTCAGATGACAACCTTGAGCTAGCTCAAGAACTTTGAGAACTTAAAAAGTCCCTTGATCCAGGGACAGTCCACACACATATTGGCCTATTCTGGACTGCTCCTGCTCTAACTGCACAGAAAAAGCAGTTTGGTTCCAGAAATTCATTCTGATTGTGCAGATAAAATATAACTGATAGAATTCTACAGGATGTGTTGCTAGTGTGTGAAAACATTCCAGATCCAATGACCTCCAGATGATGGAAACGGTGGCACCCAGACATCTTCACTTGGTTGCAAATGGTCAATAGCCAAGTACAAAATGCGCTTGGCATCTCACTATTTTCTAACACTGTTTCCAGTCTACAATATTATTTTTTAAGTGGGGCAATCAGAATTGTGCATAGTATGGCAAGTGTGGTCACAACATGTAGGAAGGAGCTGACTGAGTGGTCTTTCACATCAGAACTCAGCAGGGTGGGAGCAGGCAGCAAGAAGAACTGCATTACCAGCGTTTAAATGTTCTAACCATTTAGGCAGAAGTTGATCAGAGATTCAGCTGTTCCAACACAGCTGGGTGGGTGGTCTCCAAGTCACTCTGCTGATGGGTTTCTTTAGATTTAGAAGAAGGTGCATCCTGCTGCTTGGTAAACATCTGAAGTCACAATGCAAGAATAAAGAAACAATCCAAATCCACCTCAGAAGTGCTGTAAAAACTGGTGCAACTATTTCACCACTTCCTTATGAGTGTTTGCCACATGCACAGGCTCCCCCCCCCCCCATATAACTGTACAGTCATTTCGTCAGTTATTCTGCAATATTATCCACAAGAAACTGAACTGCCCGAAGTTCCAGTGTATACTGGATTCTGTCTTGCTACATAAAGGCTGCACCTTCATTTTTGCAAGGTCTGGCTCACACATCACATTAAACTTAACTACTGTGGTTCAAAAGTGAGCTTCCCCTGCACTCCTGGTGAGAGTTAAGCCACTGTTTGGCTTAGCATTAAATCCAAACCCAGACTCTTTTATTATTTTTCTCCAAGAGGACGATGAGCTGTAACCAAGGTTTGCTCTGGGCTTACGGATCATGGCTTGTTTGTGGGAAAGAACCCATCAGCCAGGTTTCAGATGCAATGACAAGCCAGACCATGGATTACCTCAGCTGCACAGCACTCTCAAATGTTGTTGGTTCCATGATGCAAAGGCTAGTAAACTCTGGATTCCAAAATCAGCACTCTTGAGTTCAAATCTCTGTGGATCTGCATTGATTAGGCCATTGTCCAGTGACAACACAAAATTCAGTCCACAGCTTCTATTGTTTAAAAGGTCAGTGGAAAATAATATGGGAAGCACCTTAATTGCTGTCTATAACAGAAGTTGACGCTACTGGGCAAGATGAACCAACAGTCTGACTTTTTTTTTTACAAAGGAGCTCCTAGGATGCACTTTAAGAAAGCCTTCCCTGGCATACAAAATGGTGCTTTGTGGTTAGAATGGGCCACTCACATGGCAGATCTGCCACAAGTACATTTCAAGTTGGGAATTTCTTTTTAAAAGCCAGCTTGTACTGGAGCCCGAGAGTTATAATCATACACTAAGAATGCTCTAAATTTTCCAAGCGCTGGGTCCTTATGCACCCGAAATAGCAGAATCCATGCATTAGTGGGAGGTTATAAACAGGTTCAGGGAACCCCAAGGTTTCAGCTAGTACAAACATCTTCAGTAAACAGGGAAAGGATGAAATGGAACATCCTAAGCAGAATCATTCCACACTGCAACATTTTGTTGAAGGCTTTATTTTATCCTAGTTATATTCAGGTTCTTTGTCATATTACAGTGGTACCTCGCAAGACGAATGCCTCGCAAGACAAAAAACTCGCTAGACGAAAGGGTTTTTTGTTTTTTGAGCTGCTTCACAAGACGATTTTCCCTATGGGCTTGCTTCGCAAGACGGAAACGTCTCGCAAGTTTGTTTCCTTTTCTTAACACCGTTAATACAGTTGCGACTTGACTTCGAGGAGCAACTCATAGAACGCGGTATGGTAGCCTTTTTGAGGTTTTTAAAGACTTTGGTGATTTTTGAAGCTTTTCCAAAACTTTCCCGACACCGTGCTTCGCAAGACGAAAAAAATCGCAAGACGACAAAACTCGCGGAACGAATTAATTTCGTCTTGCGAGGCACCACTGTATTTGCATTCGATCCTTCCTTCAAAGAGTGGGAGTGGGGACATTTATGGGATTTCCCCACTTTATCCTCCTAACAACCCTGTGAGGTAGGCAGAGACTGGTACTGTACAAAGCTACCCATTGAACTTAGTGGCCAAGCAGAGCTTAGAACCAAGGTACCGTATATACTCGAGTATAAGCCAACCCGAATATAAGCCGAGGCACCTAATTTTAGCACAAAAAACTGGAAAATGTATTGATTCAAGTATAAGCCGGTTCACCACACCACAAACCTGGTGGTGGTGGCAGCGGCGGAGAAAGAAGAACAAACAGCCGGAAATGGCTGCTTTCGGGCTGCTCATTCCTCCGCCACTGCCAACAGCGGAGGAGGGAGGAACAGCCTGAAGGGGCTCCTTGTGGGCCACTGCCGCCCACTTCACTCGAGTATAAGCCGAGGGGGGCTTTTTCAACATTAAAAATGTGCTGGAAAAGTCGGCTTATACTCAAGTATATACAGTATATTGTGTTCTAAATCATATTGGTACCAAATTTACTTCTTAAAGGACCCTCCATTTCCTTGTCCAAACGAAGCCACAGGGGCTACACCTGATTTACACACCTGACAATCAGGCACCTGATTTAACTCTATTTCTGAAGTTACACAAGCCATGTCTGGAGAATAACAAGATTTATACATGCACGCACACACATGCACACACCCCCTTTGAAGGGAGGTCATATAGAAATGTAATAAAAACATGAGCATCCAAGATTGTGGAACTGGATACTGAAAAGGGAAGAAACGAAACAGGAAAGGAACATGGGGGAGGTTAATGCTTAATTTCTATACCAGAGGGGGAAATCTGAGCCTTTGTATTCTGAACAGCAGGACAAGCCTGAAGAGTGGTGTTAAGTGGATTAAATGGATGCTTACCTCCTGGATAATCTCCATGAAATAAAAGTGCTTTTGCCAAAAAGGGAAAAGAATGAGAACTGAAACCCATTCTTTCCCTAGGTACAGTTTTGCCTAACCCCAGGAACATGGAAGTTGGTGGTTGCTACTCGAATGTAAAGGAAAGGCACTCTGTACATGCTAAGATGCACTCACATTATGCCTTCATACATTCCAGCTAAACAGTTTTGTAGGCAGAAGGTCTGAAGGTGCAGTTTAAGCCCTTTCTAGGTAAGCAAAAGATGACTTGCTGCTGCGACCCATGAATCACCAAATGCAGCAGAAGTCTACCCTGTTTACTCCACTTTTAAGCTTTTATTAGTGAATAACTTGCTAGGTTGCAAACAAGTTATCTCAGACAAGTACAGTACTTACATGGTTACGTGTTTGTACATATATCTGTGACAAATCAATACAATAAAAAAAAATTAAAAGTTGGGGACTGGAAGGACCACCCTAAGCAAGCAGAAGCAGTCTTGAATACTAGGATTCAGTACTGGAGCATGCAAAGTAATCATTACAGATTAGAGTACTCCTTCCTCAAGGGTATTTGCAAAGAACTTTGAAGACTAAAGAGCACTATCCAAGTATGCTTCACTGGAAGCAAATCCTATTAAAGTCAATGGGAATTAAATTCCAGAAGAGGATCCATGTGTTGCTTTGGCAGCTGTAGACAGCAGCTGCATACCCATTTACCTGGGAGCAAGACAAAATGAAATTAATGGAACTTCTGAGATGTCTATAAACATGTACATAACAATTGCACTGTCAAGAGTTTTGTGGCAACTGAAGAGAAAAACAATCCTACTGCATGTTTTCTCATGAATCAATCCAGTTGTTTTCAGTGGGAAAATACCCACCAGGTAATCAAGCACAGAGAGTTGCCTTACTGTGGCATCAGCTTTCATAGTCTCAGCTTCTCATACTATGAAAGCTGATGCCACAGTAAGGGCAGGAAGTTGCACTGAGCACAACGGAGCTTGCCTCCGAGTAAGATTGCTTAGGATCATACTCATGTCAGCCTTGAAGATGCCGATAATACATAGGGTTGCCCCACCCCCCACCCCATCATAAAATGGAAGATAAAATAAACCCTGCTAAAGATTGTCCCAAATTGCTTGCTACAATTTGCAAAAGCCACCCAGCCCATATTTTTTGTAACCGAGCAGAGGAAATAAAAGAAATAAGGAAGGAAAATGCGGAAATGCCCTGAATGTAAGAGATCGCAGTACTGTAGGGGGAAACGGGAGAGAGGGAAGGCAAGGAGCCTGCTGCTGCAACTTTCCTTCAGTACAAAGGGGTGGCGGAAAGTTAGGAAGGAGAAGAGCTTCTGGGCGAGGGAGGGGAGCAGGAGCCGCTGGCTTCTCCTTACCGCTGTGGAACCTGATGAAGAAGCGATGAAGACCACGATCACCATCCTGAAGAAGGGCGCAGGCGCTTCTTTGCGATGGCAGAACGAGCGCAGGAGGCCAGGAACAGTGTCTCAGCCAAAAGCGAGCGCAGGAGGATGGGGAGAGAGAGAAAGCGCGCAGGCGAAGAGGCGCAGCGCCGTGCAGTGTGGAAACACGGAATGCCCCGCCTCCTGCTACGAGCGGCAGCTGCTGCTATTGCTACGCATGGGACCCGCTCGCTGATCATCCAAACCCCGGAAGAAGCTGAGAGGGAGAGCATGTTTGTATCGCAGAATCGAAAGGAAGTGGGGGAAACTGCAGCGGTGATACAATCCGAAGCAGAAATGCGAAGGCTTCTGGGCTCGCATATTTCCCGCGCCGGATCTGCTGGGCCTGGGTCTTTCATGGGGGGCGGGGAACGCGTTGCTGCTGATTTTAGGGGTAAAGCTCTTTTTTCCGGAACGGGGAGGCTATTTTGTTCACTTTCGGCCACAATCCTCAAGCCCCAGAACCTTCAAAGCCGCTCCGAGGCATTTGTTAATATGAAATGGCTTGCGTTCGAAAATAGCACCGATCAACGTGAAACCGACTTAACGCAAAAGATGCCCCTGCTTCGGGGCGCTTACAATCGGGAAAGTTCGCATTATTAGGTCTAAGACAGCCTTTTTCAATCTTGGGTTCCCATAGGTCGTTAGACTACAACTCCCATCATCCATATCTAGCAGGACCAGCAGTCAGCGATGATGGGAGTTGTAGTCCAACAACATCTGGGGAACCAAGGTTGAGAAAGGCTGGTCTAAGGTAATAATGCTTGGCTCTTGGTTTCAAATGCTTTGTTTAAATATAGTTTTAAAATGCCTGAATAAAGGGCACACCTACAAGACAGTGTGCAAGAAATGTACTGTATAACAAAACATTCCGATTTATAAAATAACAGTATTAAATCTTATTTTAAAAGAGCTGTATTATTATTATTAAATTTGTACAGACTTTTCATCCAAAGAACACAGGGCAGTGCTCTACATAACAATACAAAATGAGAATGCAAAAAAAGACTAGACAGTCAAAAAGTGTTTTCTAGTTTGTATCAAAAATTTTAAAAGGCTTAAGAGCATGGCTTAACTACAATGGTCATGTGCATTTCCTGTGGGAGGGAATTAAATAAATGTTGAGCCATCACCAAGAAGGCCCTGTTCCTAGTACCTTCTTTCTTCTTCTTTGGCGATCACCCGTAGCCAAGTAAGATTGTCTTCCATGAACACTGTTTTAACAGTGAGTCCATAAGTGACTGTGGAGGCCATTGCAACTCAAGTCTACTCCTGATGGGCCAGAAAGCAGCCCTCAAGAAACTGATCAAAAAAGCCCTTACAATGGCCCAGAAAGCTGGGTGAGTATTATTACTGCCCTGATGCAAAAGAGGAGCTGAAGCAGAGAGAAAGTGTCTCATGGCAGATTTAAACCAGGGTCTTGGTGTTTTATAGCACAGATTCTTCACTTCCATTGGATGTATCTGAGCTAAGAGATATGGTTGGCCAAGGGCACAATGAGCTGTGATAAGGCTGTAACAGATCATTGTCTTTTTGGCCCCATTTTGTTCATAATAGGTGCTGCAATGATGTGACATCGTGCATCTCACTTTCCACTATCGGCCTCTTCTTTTTCTTCTTCTTCTTCTCCTCCTCCTCCTCCTCCTCCTCCTCCTCCTCCTCCTCCTCCTCCTCCTCTTTCTCCTTCTCCTTCCTCCTCCTCCTCTGCTTCCTCTTCTTCCTCTTCTTTTCCCCCCAAATTTTTAAATTAATTTTCCAAATTTTACACAACACAAAATAACAAATAACAAAACATACAAAAAAGAAAAACAAACATACATTCAAAACTTCTTACAGTTAAAGATCCAAATTTCATTCCATTATTGAGTGACTTCCTCAAATCCTTCCTAACTGATTTTCATTAAATCTCATTTTAGCAATTTTCCAATACAGTATCCACTTTCTAATAAAATTAACCTATTCAAATTACTAACTTCCTTTCTTTCCATAATATTCTTAATCCATAATCTTAAACAATTCAACATAATTTAATCCTAAAACAAATTTAATACTTGCAAGTGGAAACACTTACGTTATATTATAGTATTTCGCTAAATATTCCTTAAATTTCTTCCATTCTTCTTGATGTTCCTCCTCTTTCGGATCGCGGATTCTTCCAGTAAGGTCGGCCAGCTCCAAAAAGTCCAACATCTTCATCTGCCAATCTTCCATTGTTGGTATTTCCATTGTTGGTATTTGGTATCTAGCATCTTTTTTAGGTAATTCTATTCCTATTATTCCAAGTAGAAAAGCTTCTGGTTTCTTAATAAATGTATATTTCAACATTTTTTTCAATTAATTATATACCTTTTCCCAGAAGTCTTTCACCTTTGGACACGTCCACCACATATGGTAAAAGGTTCCTTCTTTTTCTTCTTAATATTATTTATTAGTATTCCATTTCCAGTAGGCTCTCCTAACGTTCTCAGAATGGCTTAAGATAAAACAGATGAAAACAATCACAATCAGAAACTGTAAAACAATATAAAATACAAAATATCTAAAAATGCCTCATTCAATAACATAATTTAATTTAATTTCATAAAATGCATATACTGCTTTATGGTTTGTTTGTTTTTAACCTTCAAATCAGTTTACAAAAGTAATAGAGCAGTAAAATTATTGGTAAAAAGCTGTTAAAAACAACAATTGAAATCGTCCAAAAAGTTACGAATAAACTTAAAACAAGTTAAAACACACAGAGCAACATTTAGATATCCAAGTAGGCTTGAGATAGGTCATTAGTCCATGTAAGGTAAAAGGTAAAGGATCCCTGGACAGTTAAGTCTAGTCAAAGGCGACTATGGGGTGCGGCGCTCATCTCTACTTTCAAGCCAAGGGAGCTGGTGTTTGTCCACAGACAGTTTTCTGGGTCATGTGGCCAGAATGACTAAACTGTTTCTGGCACACGGAGGACTGATGGAAACCAGAGCGCACGGAAATGCCATTTAGTTTCCCGCCACAGCAGTACCTATTTATCTACTCACGTTGGTATGCTTTCAAACTGCTAGGTTGGCAGAAGCTGGGACAGAGCAACGGGAGCTCACTCCATAGCGGGGATTCAAACCACTGACCTTCCAATCCAGGGGTCAGCAACCTAAGGCCCATGGGCCACAAGCAGCCCACGGGGGTTGCTTTACTGGCTCGTGTGCCCCCGAGCCGCCCACTCAGTGAGTCCCTGTGCTCTGCGCTAAACTGGCGCAGTGTGGGAATTCACTTCTGCAGCACTGGAAACTGCGTCGACACAGACACTGGAAATCGCGGCCACGCACTTTCATGCACACCCGCGATCTTGCCCACGGAGGGAGCTCCGCGGCAGTGAACCAGCCCAGGCGAGGTAAGCCCAAGAGGCTCAGTGGTTTAGACCATAGCGCCACCCACGTCCCTTTTTACCTTAGTCCATTTAGCTCAGTCTTGCTTACACTGACAGGAAGCAACTTTCCAGGATTTGAGGCAGGGTTTTCTCCCAGCCCAACCTGGAGATGCTGGGCTTTGAACCTGGGATCTGGATGCATCAGCAGCGGGTCCTCCCCAGATACTGGGGCTACAGCAGCTGCCCAAAGATGCTACATGTTGACACAGGGCTGGTCATGCACGTTTTGGAACAGGTGGGTTCTGCCTTAAGGTCACTGTGCTCCAGATTTGCAAAGCTAGTAATCAGAATCTTGCAGTGTCTTGCAGAATCTAGCTGCTCTTTTGGCCTAGCACAGATAAAATTTCTATTTGTACAACCACCCAAACCTCCTCCATAGAGGTCTTATCACCTCCCTAATCGGGATAACTTGCAAAGAGATTAAAGAATTGTCAATCCCTGAAGTTAAACACTTGGTACCTTTGACTCTGGGACAAAGTTTGTATTGAATAATACGAGTGAAGGAGAAAAGGAAAGGAGCAGAACAGAAACAAAACAAAAGGGAAAGGGAAGAAATCCAAAACCTCTGGCCAACACCTGCATTATGTGCTGCAGAACTTAACGTATATCAGTTTAGGGGAACAATTGTGTAATTAAGGATTTCAGTCTCCAAACAGGACACCAAAAAGATTCAAATTCCCAAAACTTTCCTGAAGCAAGGATTAGTTGTTAGTGGGTGGAACATCATTTCTTCATGAGGAGGAAAGGAAGTTTCCATGCTGTTTAGTTGACAAACTCTTACTCAGAGTTTACACAATAAATCACCACGTGTTATGTTTATAATGCTTGACCTCAAACGTCACATTTTTTTGCCTTGGTTCATTTTTTTTTTCCATGGAAAAGCACACGAATGATGTAGCTGGCAGAGGGCCATAGATTCAGTTGCAGACTTTCTTACGCTTGTATTGCATCTTTATGTGCATATAAATCAGGTTTAATGGGGGCACTTAATACAACTGAAATCCTAAAACCCAGTTTAAATTTAAAACCTCCAATTTATGTTGCTACTATTTTTTAGATAATTCAATTTTTAAAAACTAAGCCCAGCCTTGTTTAGCACAATGCATTCATTGTCCAGTGGCAAGCACTGCTGCCGTTAACCTAAATATCATAAACTTTCAGGGTATTATTAGACCTGATGATATTTAGGATAGCCCTGGCTTGTCTAGTTCAGCATCCTGCTTCCCACAATGGACCAACCAGAAGAAGATTGGAAGTGCACAAACATGATGTGAAGCCAGCTGCCCTCATCCTGCCTCTGATCTTTGATGGTGCTTCTAATCCTTGATGCAGCAAATAAATAGCCACCATGACTAGCAGATTTTTGACAGCCTTATAATAATAATAATAATAATTTTTATTTATACCCCGCCCTCCCCAGCCAAGGCCGGGCTCAGGGCGGCTTACAAACAATAATAAAAACAAGTTGAATGAATACAACTTAAAAACAAGATTAAAATACAACAATTAAAATATTGAAACATTAAAATATTAAAATGCAGCCTCATCACAGGAGGAGAAAGGTCAAAGAGAAAAAAAAGAGGGGGAGGGAATCAAATTGGCTCCAAGCCAAAGGCCAGGCGGAACAACTCTGTCTTACAGGCCCTGCGGAAAGAAATCAGATCCTGCAGGGCCCTGGTCTCATGAGGCAGAGCGTTCCACCAGGCCGGAGCCAGTGTTGAAAAGGCCCTGGCTCTGGCTGAGGCTAATCTAACTTCCTTAGGGCCAGGGACCTCTAGGGTGTTGCT